GCTGGGCTAGACAATCTGGACCCTTTCTTTCTAAAATTAGCCACCAAAATTGTTGCAACCCCTATTACTAGCCTGTTCAACCTCTCTTTCGTAACGTCTGCCGCGGTCAAAGGGGGTGACACTCTAGATCCAAACTGTTACAGACCTATATCCATCCTGCCCTGCCTTTCGAAAGTTTTTGAAAGGCAAGTTAACAAACAGATCACTGACCCAATCGAAAATCACCGTACCTTCTCCGCTATGCAATCCGGTTTCCGAGTCATGTGTGCACCTCAGCCACGCTCAAGGTCCTAAACGATATTATAACCGCGATCAATAAAAGACAGTACTGCGCAGCCGTCTTCATCGACCTGGCCAAGGCTTATTGGCAGACTAAATAGCCTTGGTTTCTCAAATGACTGCCTCGCCTGGTCCACCAACTACTTATCAGATAGAGTTCAATGTGTCAAATCGGAGGGCCTGTTGTCTGGACCCCTGGCAGTCTCTATGGGGGTGCCACAGGGTTCAATTCTCGGGCCGACTCTATTCTCTGTGTATATCAATGATGTCGCTCTTGCTACTGGTGACGCTCGGATCCACCTCTATGCGGACGACACCATTTTGTATACATCTGGCCCTTCATTGGACACTGTGTTAACAAACCTCCAAACGAGCTTCAACGCCATACAACACTCCTTCTGTAGCCTCCAACTGCTCTTAAACACTAGTAAAACTAAATGCATGCTCTTCAACCGAATGCTGCTTGCACCCGCCCACCCCACGTCTGACCTAGAGTATGTGGACAACTACAAATACCTAGGCGTCTGGTTAGTCTGTAAACTCTCCTTCCAGACTCACATTAAGCATCTCCAATCAAAAGTTAGATCTAGAATCAGCTTCCTATTTCGCAACAAAGCCTCCTTCACTCATGCTGCCAAACATGCCCTCGTAAAACTGACTATCCTACCGATCTTTGACTTCGGCGATGTCATTTAAAAAATAGCCTCCAACACTCTACTCAGCAAATTGGATGTAGTCTATCACAGTGCCATCCGTTTTGTCTCCAAAGCCCCATATACTACACACCATTGTGACCTGTACGCTCTTGTTGGCTGGCCCTCACTACATATTCATTGCCAAACCCACTGGCTCCAGGTCATTTATAAATCACTGCTAGGCAAATCCCCGTCTTATCTTAGCTCACTGGTCACCATAGCAACACCCACTCGTAGTCTGCGCTCCAGCAGGTATATCTCACTGGTCATCCCCAAAGCCAACACCTCCTTTGGCCGCCATTCCTTCCAGTTCTCTGCTGCCAATGACTGGAACGAATTGCAAAAATCTCTGAAGCTGGAGACTCTTATCTCCCTCACTAACTTTAAGCATCAGTTGTCAGAGCACCTTACCGATCACTGCACCTGTACACAGCCCATCTGAAATTAGCCCACCCAACTACCTCATCCCTATATTGTTATATATTTAGCTCTTTTGCACCCCAGTATCTCTATTTGCACATAATCTCTTGCACATCTAGCATTCCAGTGTTAATACTATTGTAATTATTTTGCACTATAGCCTATTTATTGCCTTACCTCCATAACTTGCTACATTTGCACACACTGTATATATATTTTCTGTTGTATTTTTGACTTTATGTTTTTTTTACCCCATATGTAACTCTGTGTTGTTTTTATCGCACTGCTTTGCTTTATCTTGGCCAGGTTGCAGTTGTAAATGAGAACTTGCTCTCAACAGACTTACCTGGTTAAATAAAGGTGGAATAAAAATAAATAAAATAAATAAAAAGGGTGTAGCCTACAAGGCTTCGCCCTAGGCCCAAAAATCAGTCCACGATTTAAATCAGTAAACAATATACAGTATGTCCATGAATCCTATCATATTGTGATTATCTGTAATCATATTTTTGGTTGACTCTTATCTGCTAGGTAAATTAACTAGAAGAGCCTATCAAAATACCTTATCATATCAGCAGTCATTTTGGGAAAGATCTTTAACTTCATCCCACGAAAGTTAATATCTCCTTTCTTCCTTGACCAAATCAAATTTTATTTGTCACATGCGCCGAATACAACAGGTGTAGACCTTACAGTGAAATGCTTACTTACAAGCCATTAACCAACAATGCAGTTTTAAGAAAAATAAGTGTTAAGTAAACCATTTTTAGGGCCTTCTGCTGACACTGCGTGGTATAGAGGTCCTGGATGGCAGGAAGCTTGGCCCCAGTGATGTACTGGCCGTACGCACTACCCTCTGTGCCTTGCGGTCGGAGGCCGAGCAGTTGCCATACCAGGCAGTGATGCAACCAGTCAGGATGCTCTCGATGGTGCAGCTGTATAACTTTTTTGAGGATCTGAGGACCCATGCCAAATCTTTTCAGTCTCCTGAGGGGGAACAGGCTTTGTCGTGCCCTCTTCACGATTGTCTTGGTGTGTTTGGACAATGATAGTTTGTTGGTGATGTGGACATCAAGGAACTGGAAGCTCTCAACCTGCTCCTCTACAGCCCCGTCGATGAGAATGGGGGCGTACTCTGTCCTTCTTTTCCTGTAGTCCACAATCATCTGTATGACCACTGTATGATTGCGTGTTTGACCTGGTAGCGCTGCATCCTCACGATCATCACACGGGGTCTGTCAGCATGCCAAGATGGTTTTGATCCAATTTGATGTGTGTTCTCCACGGCTGGTTCACTGGGAAGTTCCTCAGCCTGGAACAGTTCTGTGAAGAAAGCTGCCATGTAAGCCATTGGATTTCCCTGTTCAATGTCGTTATCAAATCCTGTGACACGAAGATTACATTTACGATTGTGCATTTCCAAAACTTCAAGCTTGTCGCGAAGTTTGGTGTTTTCCTCAAGGAGAGAAGTGTGGGATTCTTCAAGTTCAGTCACCCTGCCATCCACATTAGAAATGGCTTCTTCGACTACGGCTATCTTCTCGTTGCATTCGGCGACTGATGTCTTAATTGTTTCCAGACTTGGTTGGAGCTTGTTGTCTATGGCTGTGCCTATCTCTTCATATATGATATAACAGATGGGGATAGGCAGTTCGGATTCATTCAGCTCATTTTCTCTCACTGCAGCTTGCGAACCCGATTCGGTGCCCGCCATTGCGCCGACAGTGCGGTTTCTTAGTTTTCTCAGTGATCTTCTCAGCATTCCGTGCTCACTCCATGCGACCGGAACAGGAAGTGATCTCTATTTGTATTTGAACTAAAGATGTTAGGTGTTCAAGTGAATTATGGTGTCTGACATTATAATAGACATCTTAGTCTGACATTATGGTGAAGGTGATGTATGTGTACACTATCCTCAAGTCAAGACATGTGTGTGTGTGTGTGTGTGTCTATCTGTGTCTATGCGTGTGTCTCTATGCACGTGTGTGTTTGTGTCAGCGAGTAAGCAGCGTGTGTCGAGTGAAGCCAGCCCCTACACTGAAGAGCTGAAGCTGGCTGTTACCTGGAACAGAGTGGACATCGCCAAGAGTGAGCTCTTCAATGGAGACATCCACTGGAGGGTGAGACACTCATGTGCCCAATCAACACCTAGACCCTAGGCCAGGATTCCCCAACTGGCAGCACACGGCCGTATTCCCCAAGCTTTTTTTGGGGAAATAATAGACTAAAAACACCAGGAAATCAGCTCCAAGTGATATTAATTTAAGAAATCTGTTCCCAGGTATTCCCATGCATAATAGAGAGAAACGTGATCGTATACAAATGTAAGCCAAGTTTGAAATGATTATATTTTAGTCAAACATTATATCTGTTTGGGCTTCTTGTGGTCAATTTGCCATCTACATATTATTTGTAATTATATTCCGTCCACCCGACCATCCGCTCAAGACAAAAATCGGCCCGCGGCTGAATCTAGTTGATGATCCCTGCCGTAGGCCCTAGAACTTAGTAGTAAATGATTTCTCTCTTACAGCCACAAGAGATTAACAACTATAGAATTGATGTGTGACTGTTGATCTTCTGTGTGTGAGCAAAGTGGCATGAGTCTGGGTCGTCGAGAGAAATAATACACTACTTTAGCCACAAAGGCTTTGGGAGACCCAGCCTGTTCCATCTATACAGCAGCTGTCAAAGACCTATTCCATCAGATTCAGATTCAAATTGATGTGCCATTTCATTGTAGGTTTAGATATACACTGAGTATACAAAACATTAAGAACACCTGCTCTTTCCATGACATAGACTAACCAGGTGAAAGCTATGATCCCTTATTGATGTCACTTGTTAAATCCACTTCAGTCAGTGTAGATAATTGAGACATGGATTGAGTATGTTTGCCATTCAGAGGATGAATGGGCAAGACAAACGTTTTAAGTGCCTTTGAACAGGGTTTGGTAGTAGATGCCAGGCACACCGGGTTGTGTCAAGAACTGCAACGCTGCTGGGTTTTTCATGCTCAACAGTTTCCTGTGTGTATCAAGAATGGTCCACCACCCAAAGGACATTCAGCCAACCGTGGGAAGCATTGGAGTCAACATCCCTGTGGAACGCTTTCCATGCCAGATTAATTGAGGCTGTTCTAAGTGAGTGTAGAGGTCATGAACATCTCATGCACAGTAAGGTAGCTCCCATGACACTGTATTGGTAGACTGCTGTGCTCATTAGTGAACATAGGAGAGTGTTTATATTTGTCCTATGTCACACATGTACAAGCGTGTATTGGAAATGTTTTTTTTGCATATCCCAAATCCCCCTGAGAGTGAGCTCACAGCCAGGGTCTGCCATTATCAACGGCAACCCTGGAGCAATCAGGGTTAAGGGCCTTGCTCAAGGGCACATCAACAGATTCTTCACCTTGGTGATTCGAACTAGCAACCTTTCCATTACTGGCCCAACGCTCTAACCACTAGGCTACCTGCTGCCCATAGGCACCACGTGGAAGAAAACAAGCAAGGGACTACCTGTACTTATACAATAAGAAACAATAATTTTTGTTTTGTGTTACCTCTCACCTTTGACCTCTCAACCTCCCTAACTCCCCTGCAGTACCAGGACCTGCAGGACTCCATGACGGACGCGCTGGTCAATGACAAGCCACAATTTGTGCGCCTCTTCACCGAGAACGGACTAAACATCCTGGACTACCTGACCTACGGGCGGCTGGAGAGCCTCTACCGCTCGGTGGCCGACAGCTCTCTAGCCTACGCCCTGCTGCAGCGCCGCCTAGGGGAGCGCCAGGGTATGACAGGTTCGCAGGCCATTCTGCTGGATGTCTCTCCCGCCAAAGGGTCCGGTGGGTCGCCGGGGGGCCTGCGGCCTGCAAATAAGTTCAGTTTGTTTGAGGTAAGAGATTCGTGTTTTTAGGAAATGTTTATTAAATGTACTAATTTCAAGTACAGTGCATACAGTGCATTCGGAAAGTATTCAGACCCCTTGACTTTTGTTACGTTACAGCCTTATTCTAAAATTGATTAAATCGTTTTTTCCCTCCCGAGTGGCGCAGCAGTCTAAGGCACTGCATCTCAGTGCTTGAGGCGTCACTACAGACCCCCTGGTTCGATTCCAGGCTGTATCACAACCGGCCGTGATTGGGAGTCCCATAGGGCGGTGCACAATTGGCCCAGCGTCGTCCAGGTTTGGCCGGTGTAGGCCGTCATTGTAAATAAGAATTTGTTCTTAACTGTCTTGCCTAGTTAAATACACAATACCCCATAATGAAAAAGCAAAAACAGGTTGTAAGAATTTTTTCACAAGTAAGTATTCAGACCCTTTAGTCAGTACTTTGCTGAAGCAGCTTTGGCAGCGATTACAGCCTTGATTCTTCTTGGGTATGACGCTACAAGCTTGGCACACCTGTATTTGGGGAGTTTCTCCAGTTCTGCTCTGCAGATCCTCTCAAGCTCTGTTAGGTTGGATGGGAGCGTCGCTGCACAGCTATTTTCAGGTCTCTCCAGAGATGTTAGATCTGGTTCAAGTCCAGGCTCTGGCTGGGCCACTCAAGGACATTCAGAGACTTGTCCCGAAGCCACTCCTGCGTTGTGTTCGCTGTGTGCTTAGGGTCGTTGTCATGTTGGAAGGTGAACCTTCGACCCAGTCTGAGGTCCTGAGCGCTCTGGAGCAAGTTTTCATCAATGATCTCTCTGTACTTTGCTCCGTTCATCTTTCCCTTGATCCTGCCTAGTCTGCCAGTCCCTGCCGCTGAAAAATATCCCCACAGCATGGTGCTACCACCACCATACTACACCGTAGGGATTGTGCCATGTTTCCTCCAGACGTGACACTTGGTATTCAGGCCAAAGAGTTCAATCTTGGTTTCATCAGACCAGATAATCTTGTTTCTCATGTTCTGAGATTCTTGAGGTGCCTTTTGGCAAACTCCAAGCGTGCTGTCATGTGCCTTTTACTGAGGAGTGGCTTCTGTCTGGCCACTCTACCATAAAGGCCTGATTGGTGGAGTGCTGCATAGATGGTTGTCCTTCTGGAAGGGGCTGTTTTTCATGGTTCAGGCCCCTTAGTTACAGCATACAATGACATTATAGACGATTCTGTGCTTCCAACTTTGTGGCAACAGTTTGGGCAAGGCCCATACAGAATTGGTTTGTCGAGATCGGTGTGGAAGAACTTGACTGGCCTGCACAGAGCCCTGACCTCAACCCCATCGAACACCTTTGGGATGAATTGTAACGCCGACTGTCAGCCAGGCCTAATCGCCCAACATCAGTGCCTGACCTCACTAATGCTCTTGGCTGAATGGAAACAAGTCCCTGCAGCAATGTTCCAACATCTAGTGAAAAGCCTTCCCAGAAGAGTGCAGGCTGTTATAGCAGCAAAGGCGGGACCAACTCCATATTACTGCCCATGATTTTGGAATGAGATGTTCGATGAGCAGGTGTCCACTTTTGATCATGTAGTGTACTTTGGTTGGGTTTGCACTTTTGGGTTCCATTGCACCAGGCAAGCTCATTCAGGTGAATGAAAAGGAATACTATTTTAATCTAGTTCTGGGGGGTTAGGTTTTTCTGTTAGATTTGGAAATGCTTAGTTGTGGATCATGGCTGTGTGAAAACAGCACTTGCTGTTATTTGAAATGGACATGACAAAACATCTGCATGCTTTTAATATGATTTATCCATCCTTCCTCATTCTCCTTTTCTTGTCATATTATCTTACCCCTCCATCTTGTCCACCACCTTGTCCTCTCTCCCTTTATTCTCAGGTGTCAAGAGTCCTGGAGGACTTGATGGGGGATGTGTGTCAGCCATTTTACCACGCACCACTGGAACTGGAGAACATCACCTCCCAGAGAAAGGCTCTCAAGGTGTACTCTCAATTACATAGATTTTCCTCTCTCTTTCTTTCGTTTTGCATAGTTTATATTTTTCTTCATTTCCCCCCATTTTCTCCTTGTATTCACTCTTTGTGGGCTTTGTATTTTGATACGTGTAAATTAAATGGCATATTTGGTCCAAGATATTTAAATTCTTTATTGGAATCTCTCTCTCTCTCTCTCTCTCTCTCTCTCTCTCTCTCTCTCTCTCTCTCTCTCTCTCTCTCTCTTCCTCACCCTCCCCCCATCTCTCTATCCCCCTCTCTCTCTCTCCCATCCCCCTCTCCCTTTCTCTCAGCGTGTGAGTAAGTTGTTGCGGGGCAACTGTGTGTACCGGGACAAGCGCTGTCTCTTTCCCTGGGCTAGTCTCTTCGTCTGGGCTGTGCTGCAGAACCGCAACGACATGGCCGTCTTCTTCTGGGAGATGGCAGGCGAGTCAGTCCTCAGTGCTCTGAGCGGCTGTAAGATCCTACGGGAGCTGTCCAAGCTGGAGAGCCAGACGGAGACCAAGCTGGCCATGAAGGAGCTAGCGCAAAGGTTCGAGAACCTGGCTCACGGTGAGACGAGAGGATAAACATTTGGAATAGAAACATGAAAAGTGATAATGGAGAGGTTGTTATGTCATTTCGTCCATATAAAGGTTGAAAAGCGGAAAACAGTGCAGAGCCTGGTGTAGTGGTAACACTCCTCGCTCTCATCTCACATGCGACTCCCCGCCGGAGACCAGGGGCTCTATTTTAACAACCCTAACGCAATGGTTAATCAAAGCACTGGTGGTAGCGCTATAGGTTCGGGGCTGTGCCAGAAATATTGTTGCTATTTTCACAATCATAATTATGGACGCAGTTGCTGGCGGTGGCGCGAAAGTGCTGGGTTTTGATGAATAAACTATACGGCTTGGCCCCTCACTGGCCAATCAGAACCTGCTCCATGGCTAAATATGTGGTTGCTTCAAGTTGTGTATTTACGGTCTTTCATGTATTGCGTTGTCATCAACTCCAATTCGAATGTTAGTCCGTTATTGCCTTGTTCGTTAAATAGCCTGCCCCATATTTGCAAAATATATTGAACATGTTTGCAGTCCACAATGTTCTAATTGCATTGCTTCAATACGGAAATACATTGTTAAAAATATGCTATAGCAGTCACACTGATATATGGGCTAGGCCTACTGTAAATTGCAGTCTGTGGACATGCCAAACGTAGTCAATGAGCAAGATTAAATTCACTAGGCCTGAAAAGACAGTATATAATTCTAATCAAATTCTAATAAAAACAAAACAAAAACTTGTTTTAAATAGGCTAAATACAGTTAGAGGCACCATAATTGTTCCCCGTGGGCGTATAATACAGACAAGGCAACTTATATATCCAAACTTTTCACAGGAGCTGGGTAAAGATCCAATATAATGAGAAAGGGGGAATGTCTACTCACCTTTATACTGCTCCCAAATATAATGTTTTATAAACATTGGAACCATCTTACAGATCGCATACACACTTCTCCAGAAGTTGCATTGCATGCACGCCACAGATGTTCTCACCAGGACGGTGATTCATGTTGGGTTAATGAAGGAACCCAGTCCCGCTCCTCGCACCAATCAAGTGGTGCGTGTCGCCAGTCCGGTCCGGCCCGTTCCTGATTCCCGCACTAAGCCAGTGGTGGGTGTTCCCAGTATGGTTCGGCCCGTCCCTGCTCCTCGCATCAAGCCAGTGGTGCGCGTCGCCAGCCCGGCCCGGCCTGTTCCTGCCCCGTGCACCAAGCCAGTGGTGCGCGTCGCCAGCCCGGTCTGACCTGTTACTGTCCCTCGCACCAAGCCAGTGGTGTGTGTCGCCAGCCCGGCCCGGCCTGTTCCTGCTCCCCGCACCAGGCCAGTGGTGTGCGTCGCCAGTCCGGTACGGCCCGTTCCTGCTCCCCGCACCAAGCCAGTGGTGCGCGTCGTCAGCCCAGTCCGGACCGTTCCTGCTCCCCGCACCAAGCCAGTCGTGCGCGTCGTCAGCCCAGTCCGGCCCGTTCCTGCTCCCCGCACCAAGCCAGGGATGCGCGTCGTCAGCCCAGTCCGGCCCGTTCCTGCTCCCCGCACCAAGCCAGTGGTGCGTGTGTCCAGTCCGGCGCGGCCCGTGCCTGTTCCACTGGTGCCTGGTCCAGCTCCGGTCAGCGGCTCCACTCCGGAGCCAGAGCAATCCGCTCCACCGGGGTCCAGTCCAGCTCTGGCCAGCGGCTCCACTCCGGAGCCGGATCCGCCTCCGAGGCGGAATGCCCACCCGGCCCCTACCCTGTTAGGTTTATGTGGCGCGGTCAGAGTCCGCACCTTTGGTGGGGGTGGGGGGGGGGGGTACTGTCACGCCCTGACTCTAGGGACTTGTATTGGTTGAGTCAGGGTGTGTATTTTCTGTGTTGGGTTTGTCTATGTTAGTTTCTAGATCGTTTAGATCTATGTTGGCCAGGGTAGTTCCCAATCAGAGGCAGCTGTAGCTCGTTGTCTCTGATTGGGGACAATACTTAGGCAGCCTTTTGGCACCTGTTAGTTGTGGGATCTTGTTCCGTGTAAGGTATGTTGTGTGTATGCTACCTTGGACTTCACGTTTCGTTTGTTGTTTTGTCGTGGTGTTTATTCGTTAAATAAACATGTATGCTTATCACGCTGCCCCTTGGTCCTTCTCATTCGTAAACGATCGTGACAGATAGCCTACAGAGGGCTTGGGTTTTGAACATATGAAATGGAAAACAAACAATTGTTACAGGAAAATAACTTCTAAAAAGGTTCACCGATATTCACCGAGGAGGTTCTGTAGCCTACATCATGGAGGGGATTTTATGTACGTCCAAAACTGGAGCTGCATCGCTAAAATATTGTAGGCCTTTAAATCTGTCCCTGTAGATGTATTCAGTAAGTGTTACCAGAGCAGTGAGAGTCGCTCCTTCACCCTGCTGATCAGGAAGTCTCCCGTGTGGGGAGGGACCACCTGTCTAAAGATGGGCATGGCCGCCGACGCCCGCCTCTTCTTCAGCCATGATGGAGTGCAGGTCTGTCTGTCTGTCTGTCTGGCTGGCTGGTTGGCTGGCTGGTTGGCTTGTCTGTCTTGTCTGTCTGTCTACTTGGCTGGGCTATTCTGCCTTCTAATTAAACAAAACATTTCAACCTGCGTATTCTTTTCACCGTCTGTAATCATATTTCACTGTGTCTGGGATTCTCCAGATGTGCATAGAATGTAACCATGTACATTTGAAGTTGCATGCAGGAGCATAACATGATATCATAGGCTACAATAGAATGAATCAATTGCAAACCTAGACATCTCTTGCCTCCCCTCCAGTCTCTCCTGTCTCAGATCTGGTGGGGGGATATGAAGAGGAGCACGGAGGTGTGGAAACTCCTCCTCACCTTCTTCTGTCCCGTTCTGATGTACACCCAGCTCATCTCCTTCAGGTACCTTTAGTACCTCCTCCACATCCACCTCTGTCTGGTAGTGTCTGTTCTCTGTGCACTCTGGGCTGTTCTTTTCTGACCCAGATTAAAAACATGCTCAATCGAGAATCTCCATTTGTGTTTGGAAAACTCTTCCTCTCTGTGTGCTTTTCTTTCTGCCCCTCCCTATTATCACTAGCAATGTGCGGGATTAAGTCGCTGATTACGTAAACCATGCATTGATGTCAATGGTTAGGATTTGGCCCTCAGTACCTTAGTTTCAAAGTTATTTATACTTTCAACTCTGTCTTTCACAGGGAACTGGAGGAGCCGGGGAAGCCTGATGAGGTTGCGCAGGGTAGAGACAATGACAGCCTTTATGGAGAGACAATTTTCTCCTTCTCTGACATCAAGCACATGTAACTTTCCCTCTAAAAACCCAATTATATTGTTGTGTGTGTGTTAAATTTTGTACATACTGTATGTCTCACTACATGTTTGCTTTCTTCTCTGTGTTTTGTGCACATGTTATGTGTTTGCATGTGCATATACAGTGGGGAAAAAAGTATTTAGTCAGCCACCAATTGTGCAAGTTCTCCCACTTAAAAAGATGAGAGAGCCCTGTATTTTTCATCATAGGTACACGTCAACTACGACAGACAAAATGAGAAAACAAATCCAGAAAATCACATTGTAGGATTTTTAATGAATTTATTTGCAAGTGATGGTGGAAAAATAAATATTTGGTCACCTACAAACAAGCAAGATTTCTGGCTCTCACAGACCTGTAACTTCTTCTTTAAGAGGCTCCTCTGTCCTCCACTCGTTACCTGTATTAATGGCACCTGTTTGAACTTGTTATCAGTATAAAAGACACCTGTCCACAACCTCAAACAGTCACACTCCAAACTCCACTATGGCCAAGACCAAAGAGCTGTGAAAGGACACCAGAAACAAAATTGTAGACCTGCACCAGGCTGGGAAGACTGAATCTGCAATAGGTAAGCAGCTTGGTTTGAAGAAATCAACTGTGGGAGCAATTATTAGGAAATGGAAGACATACAAGACCACTGATAATCTCCCTCGATCTGGGGCTCCACGCAAGATCTCACCCCGTGGGGTCAAAATGATCACAAGAACGGTGAGCAAAAATCCCAGAACCACACGGGGGGACCTAGTGAATGACCTGCAGAGAGCTGGGACCAAAGTAACAAAGCCTACCATCAGTAACACACTACGCCGCCAGGGACTCAAATCCTGCAGTGCAAGACATGTCCCCCTGCTTAAGCCAGTACATGTCCAGGCCCATCTGAAGTTTGCTAGAGTGCATTTGGATGATCCAGAAGAGGATTGGGAGAATGTCATATGGTCAGATGAAACCAAAATAGAACTTTTTGGTAAAAACTCAACTCGTCGTGTTTGGAGGACAAAGACTGCTGAGTTGCATCCAAAGAACACCATACCTACTGTGAAGCATGGGGGTGGAAACATCATGCTTTGGGGCTGTTTTTCTGCAAAGGGACCAGGACGACTGATCCGTGTAAAGGAAAGAATGAATGGGGCCATGTATCGTGAGATTTTGAGTGAAAACCTCCTTCCATCAGCAAGGGCATTGAAGATGAAACGTGGCTGGGTCTTTCAGCATGACAATGATCCCAAACACACTGCCCGGGCAACGAAGGAGTGGCTTCGTAAGAAGCATTTCAAGGTCCTGGAGTGGCCTAGCCAGTCTCCAGGTCTCAACCCCATAGAAAATCTTTGGAGGGAGTTGAAAGTCCGTGTTGCCCAGCGACAGCCCCAAAACATCACTGCTCTAGAGGAGATCTGCATGGAGGAATGGGCCAAAATACCAGCAACAGTGTGTGAAAACCTTGTGAAGACTTACAGAAGACGTTTGACCTGTGTCATTGCCAACAAAGGGTATATAACAAAGTATTGAGAAACTTTTGTGATTGACCAAATACTTATTTTCCACCATAATTTGCAAATAAATTCATAAAAAATCCTACAATGTGATTTTCTGGATTTTTCTTCCTCATTTTGTCTGTCATAGTAGACGTGTACCTATGATGAAAATTACAGGCCTCTCTCATCTTTTTAAGTGGGAGAACTTGCACAATTGGTGGCTGACTAAATACTTTTTTTCCCCTCTGTACCTACTATACCATTTGTTACTATGCAATTATACAGTGTTTTCCACTAGTGCCGGCTGTCGGCTATACAGCTGATTACAGACTCATTTTCAACCAGCTACTTTTTCCACTTAAATTAATTAGGCTACTAGCATTTCGCTAGTCAGAAAAAGCTCTGCGGAGCCCTCTCCCACTAGAATGAACAATATGCATCTAATAGCGATCTATTGTGGCGGCAGGTAGCTTAGTGGGTAAGAGCGTTGTGCCAGTAACCGAAAGGTTGCTGGTTCTAATCCCCAAGCTGACTAGGTGAAAAATCTGTCGATGTGCCCTTAAGCAAGGCACTTAACCCTAATTGCTCCTGTAAGTCGCTCTGGATAAGAGCGTCTGCTAAATGACTAAAATGTAAATGTAAATGTCTATTGACAGGACAGGCGCTTGTCAGTCACAAAGTGAGCAATTACAAGGAAACACTGCTGGTTTGACAGTCTGCTCTCACTGGGCACACACTGGTTTAATCAATTTCGTGTCCACGTCATTTCAAGGAAATTATGTTGAACCAACATGGAATAGACGTTGAATTGACATCTGTGCCCAGTTGGCTGTCTGTCCCGCCTCCGTACCTGGAGGAGAGAGCATGAATTTGCACATCCCATATAATGTGAGTGAATTTGTACGTCCCATATAATGTGGTAACGATGAGTCGAAATCCAATTAGGCTATTGTTTTCTGGCACATTCACTTATTTTGTTTTGCGTGCAGGGTCTAACATTAACGATGGCCCACTGGCCTGGGGCCAGTAAAAACATGTCGGGCCCGTGGATCTCGTCAGCCACTGGCCCGACATGCTATTTGTATTTGAGCAATATGATTGGACGTTCATTCAAGCACCACCACGCTCACGTGAGTCACAATTTCTTGAGAAGTACAGAAGTTGATGCCTTCACACAGCACACGCAAGCTGTCCAGAGCAAAAAGAAGCGCCTATCAATCTACTCGTTTATTTATTTGAGATAAAGTGATATACAAAAGTAAACCTTCAATGGTGAACGTACTAGCAATATGCTGGCTACTGTTGATAGTCTGCAAAAAGAAAGCTACAAAAAAAACACCTAGCATTCGGCTTGGCTAGCCTACTGTAGCCATGTCAATATATATTTTGGAAAGTGTGTATTGAAAGGGGCAGCATCCTATTTTCAAATCTTCTCAGAATTACATGCTTTATAAACAAAAATGTATGCAATTAATACAATGCAATTCTAAAGAATAGAGTAATGACTTGCATTGCTAAATTATATTACACAGCTTTTTAATACATATCATAATAACCAAATGTAGCCTATTAATAGCTGAATATAGAGAGAAAGCATGCCAACCTATAGGCTTTGCATGACCCGAATGCATTTAAGAACTACACCATGTCCGGGACAGTAGAAATTCTGTTTGGGCCAGTAAGTTTTTGGCCTACTGGCCTGACCGGGCCATTGATAAAAATGTTCACGTTCAAACCCTGTCGTGTTTCATATGCAGCCATGTAGTGGTGGCACATGTGCTTTTTACTGTGCTTTGATTGATGAACAGCAAGCTTGACAAGTTTCTAAAAGTTGTCGAACTGACTGAATAAAGTCGTTCTCATATATCCTTGCCATTCATAAATCTTACAACGCAGGTATATGTCCATGGTATCGCATCGGGACAAGTAAACTAAAGATGTAGTTTATATTTTTGATATACCGTGCCTATAGAAAGTGTACATCCCGTGAACTTTTTTTCACATTTTGCTGCCTTAAAATTAAATCTAAAATATATTTTCTTCCTACAGATCTACACAACCTGAAAGAAAGTTATAGATTCTACCAACTTTGCACAAGTCTTAGCGCAACATACAGTGTGGAAAAAAAGTATTTAGTCAGCCACCAATTGTGCAAGTTCTCCCACTTAAAAAGATGAGAGAGGCCTGTAATTTTCATCATAGGTACACGTCAACTATGACAGACAAATTGAGAGAAAACAATTCCAGCAAATCACATTGTAGGATTTTTAATGAATTTATTTGCAAATTATGGTGGAAAATAAGTATTTGGTCACCTACAAACAAGCAAGATTTCTGGCTCTCACAGACCTGTAACTTCTTCTTTAAGAGGCTCCTCTGTCCTCCACTCGTTACCTGTATTAATGGCACCTGTTTGAACTTGTTATCAGTATAAAAGACACGTGTCCACAACCTCAAACTGTCACACTCCAAACTCCACTATGGCCAAGACCAAAGAGCTGTCAAAGGACACCAGAAACAAAATTGTAGACCTGCACCAGGCTGGGAAGACTGAATCTGCAATAGGTAAGCAGCTTGGTTTGAAGAAATCAACTGTGGGAGCAATTATTAGGAAATGGAAGACATACAAGACCACTGATAATCTCCCTCGATCTGGGGCTCCACGCAAGATCTCACCCCGTGGGGTCAAAATGATCACAAGAACGGTGAGCAAAAATCCCAGAACCACACGGGGGGAACAAGTGAATGACCTGCAGAGAGCTGGGACCAAAGTAACAAAGCCTACCATCAGTAACACACTACGCCGCCAGGGACTCAAATCCTACAGTGCCAGATGTGTCCCCCTGCTTAAGCCAGTACATGTCCAGGCCCGTCTGAAGTTTGCTAGAGTGCATTTGGATGATCCAGAAGAGGATTGGGAGAATGTCATATGGTCAGATGAAACCAAAATATAACTTTTTGGTAAAAACCCAACTTGTCGTGTTTGGAGGACAAAGACTGCTGAGTTGCATCCAAAGAACACCATACCTACTGTGAAGCATGGGGGTGGAAACATCATGCTTTGGGGCTGTTTTTCTGCAAAGGGACCAGGACGACTGATCCGTGTAAAGGAAAGAATGAATGGGGCCATGTATCGTGAGATTTTGAGTGAAAACCTCCTTCCATCAGCAAGGGCATTGAAGATGAAACGTGGCTGGGTCTTTCAGCATGACAATGATCCCAAACACACCGCCCGAGCAACGAAGGAGTGGCTTCGTAAGAAGCATTTCAAGGTCCTGGAGTGGCCTAGCCAGTCTCCAGATCTCAACCCCATAGAAAATCTTTGGAGGGAGTTGAAAGTCCGTGTTGCCCAGCGACAGCCCCAAAACATCACTGCTCTAGAGGAGATCTGCATGGAGGAATGGGCCAAAATACCAGCAACAGTGTGTGAAAACCTTGTGAAGACTTACAGAAAACGTTTGACCTGTGTCATTGCCAACAAAGGGTATATAACAAAGTATTGAGCAACTTTTGTTATTGACCAAATACTTATTTTCCACCATAATTTGCAAATAAATTCATAAAAAATCCTACAATGTGATTTTCTGGATTTTATTTCTTCTCATTTTGTCTGTCATAGTTGACGTGTACCTATGATGAAAATTACAGGCCTCTCTCATCTTTTTAAGTGGGAGAACTTGCACAATTGGTGGCTGACTAAATACTTTTTTCCCCCACTGTATATCCAACGTTTATGCCGAAATTGCTCAGCCTCAGTAAATTTGGTTGGGGATCATTGATGGGCAGCGACGAAACCTTGTCTCTGATTTTTAAGCAGATTTAAGTCAGGACTGAGACTACACCACTCAGGAACACTCAACACCTCTTGGAAAGCCATTCTGGTGTATATTCTGCATAAAAACGTGTGTAATTGTCCCGAAGAAAAATAAAACCCTAGCAATACACTGTATTAACACAGTTTCAGTAATTTAAACACAATACCACAACTGATTTTTCCAATCTGGGAGGTAAACTCAAAAAGTATTAAATTTTTCGCTGTATATTTCGGATGGAATCAAGCCATTAGAATGTACCAAAGGACAGCAAAATACAGCTTGTTCTGCAAAAATCTGTGGCCCGGTGGACAAATAGGCAAATTTTTCATTTTGGCTGGCTACTCCATGTGCTTGTGGAAAACACTGACTATTTGAATGGACATCAATGTAATGCCTCATTGCAATCTTATATTTTTACTTCAGTGAACATCATACACAGGGTCCTAATAGTCCCAGATATCCTCTAAAAGGTGAGTAAAATATTACATTCTCTCATATCTCCATTTCTCTATTTTCTCCAATTTCCCTCTCACTCATAGAGCTCCATACACTGCAAATCTACCAAGCCATACAAACCCATCAAGTCATAGGTTAATAATTGCTACATTTCTTCAGCATGCTTCAGTTCAGAATGTTGTCTAGCAGGTTTCAACATTCTGCATCAAGCTATTATTGATTTTGTGCTTCATGAATGCTTTAAGTTGTTCTAAAGTTCTAGACTTAAGAGTCTGTTATATACCTGAAACAGGTCTATTGGTTTTGTAATGGTACAGTAGTACTGGATATAAATGTATGTGTACATTATTGCTTTATGTAAATGGTTGTGCAGTAGTTCCGTATTTATATGTACACCTTTCTCTGGTTCTTTAGGCAGGCCCAACACCCCACCTAAAAGGCCTTTTGTGGTATCCCGATGGCGGCAGTTTTGGTTCGCACCCGTCACTTCCTTTTTAGGCAACGTTCTGATGTACTTCCTGTTCCTCCTGCTGTTTGCCTACGTGCTATTGGTGGACTTTAAGCCGCCGCCCCCGCGAGGCCCCGCTATCGCCGAGTGTGTGTTGTACTTCTGGGTGTTCACAATCGTCTGTGAGGAGATCCGAGAGGTGGGAAGAGAAAGATGACTGAAGGAAGTGTTTCTCAATCCTGGTCCTGGATTGTTTTAGCCCTTGCAGCACTAACACACTTGATTCAACTAATCAAATCATCATCAAGCCTTTAGTTGAATCAGGTGTCTTAGTGCTAGGGCAAAAACTCCAGGATCAGGATTGCGTCCCTAGAACCAGGATATACTGCATTGTTATTGCCCCTGCATAAGAAAATGGCCTGCAGTTGACTTCAGAGGCAAAAACCCTAACCCTAACTTATATACGGGTGTATTGTCATGTGTACAGTGTCTACATACAGTGGGGAAAAAAAGTATTTAGTCAGCCACCAATTGTGCAAGTTCTCCCACTTAAAAAGATGAGAGAGGCCTGTAATTTTCATCATAGGTACACGTCAACTATGACAGACAAATTGAGAAAAAAAATCCGGAAAATCACATTGTAAGATTTTTTATTAATTTATTTGCAAATTATGGTGGAAAATAAGTATTTGGTCACCTACAAACAAGCAAGATTTCTGGCTCTCACAGACCTGTAACTTCTTCTTTAAGAGGCTCCTCTGTCCTCCACTCGTTACCTGTATTAATGGCACATGTTATCAGTATAAAAGACACCTATCCACAACCTCAAACAGTCACACTCCAAACTCCACTATGGCCAAGACCAAAGAGCTGTCAAAGGACACCAGAAACAAAATTGTAGACCTGCACCAGGCTGGGAAGACTGCATCTGCAATAGGTAAGCAGCTTGGTTTGAATAAATCAACTGTGGGAGCAATTATTAGGAAATGGAAGACATACAAGACCACTGATAATCTCCCTCGATCTGGGGCTCCACGCAAGATCTCACCCCGTGGGGTCAAAATGATCACAAGAACGGTGAGCAAAAATCCCAGAACCACACGGGGGGAACAAGTGAATGACCTGCAGAGAGCTGGGACCAAAGTAACAAAGCCTACCATCAGTAACACACTACGCCGCCAGGGACTCAAATCCTACAGTGCCAGATGTGTCCCCCTGCTTAAGCCAGTACATGTCCAGGCCCGTCTGAAGTTTGCTAGAGTGCATTTGGATGATCCAGAAGAGGATTGGGAGAATGTCATATGGTCAGATGAAACCAAAATATAACTTTTTGGTAAAAACTCAACTCGTTGTGTTTTGAGGACAAAGAATGCTGAGTTGCATCCAAAGAACACCATACCTACTGTGAAGCATGGGGGTGGAAACATCATGCTATGGGGCTGTTTTTCTGCAAAGGGACCAGGACGACTGATCCGTGTAAAGGAAAGAATGAATGGGGCCATGTATCGTGAGATTTTGTGTGAAAACCTCCTTCCATCAGCAAGGGCATTGAAGATGAATTGTGGCTGGGTCTTTCAGCATGACAATGATCCCAAACACACCGCCCGGGCAACGAAGGAGTGGCTTCGTAAGAATCATTTCAAGGTCCTGGAGTGGCCTAGCCAGTCTCCAGATCTCAACCCCATAGAAAATCTTTGGAGGGAGTTAAAAGTCTGTGTTGCCCAGCGACAGCCCCAAAACATCACTGCTCTAGAGGAGATCTGCATGGAGGAATGGGCCAAAATACCAGCAACAGTGTGTGAAAACCTTGTGAAGACTTACAGAAAACGTTTGACCTGTGTCATTGCCAACAAAGGGTATATAACAAAGTATTGAGACACTTTTGTTATTGACCAAATACTTATTTTCCACCATAATTTGCAAATAAATTCATTAAAAATCCTACAATGTGATTTTCTGGAATTTTTTTTCTCATTTTGTCTGTCATAGTTGACGTGTACCTATGATGCAAATTACAGGCCTCTCTCATCTTTTTAAGTGGGAGAACTTGCACAATTGGTGGCTGACTAAATACTTTTTTTCCCCACTGTATGTCATGTTTATACATTATTAACTCTTTATGGCACTTTTAATGGTTGTAAGACTTAATTTAGCTAACTAGCAATATCGATTAGCAATTAGCTATCTACCCTCACCCTGGATGACTGGGACTTACTTACAGTAACTATATGTTCTTACTGGAGGTAACAGTGTTTGATTGACCCCATGTCATCTCTTATCCCAGACGTTCTTAATGGGCAGCATGACGTGGCATCAGAGAATGAGGAAGTATGTCCAGGACGTTTGGAACAAGTGTGTCCTCACCGCCGTCATACTCTTCATCATAGGCCTCACCTGCAGGTGGGCAACAAGATTTCACAGCAGCGATAGTCCAGAGATATAGGCCCTGTTTGAATACTTAAAAAAATACACCCTTCCTTCATTCTTTCCTTGAGGAAATCGCTGATTTGTAAACACAATGGGGTGGACACCATGTTTGAACTTATCCTCTCCCTTATAGGTCAGGTTACCTAAAGGAAAAGACGAAGGAATGATGCATTTTTAAGGTATATGAACAGGGCCAATGTCTAACAATATAATAATATGCCATTTAGCAGACGCTTTTATCCAAAGCGACTTACAGTCATGCGTGCATACATTTTTGTGTATGGGTGGTCCCGGGGATCGAACCCACTACCTTGGCGTTATAAGCGCCGTGCTCTACCAGTTGAGCTACAGAGGACCATAAACTGGGAGTTATGAGTTTGTTGTCATCCGTCAAGGTATCATTCTCTGATCATGGAAAAAAAAAACATACAAAGGGAGCCACACAATTATCCCCCTCTTATTCCTAGTGCACATAAACAGGCCTGTATTCACAATGAATAAGAGTGCTGATTATAGGATCAGTTTAGCCTTTTAGACCATAATGATTAAGATTATATGGACGGGGTGGACCTGATCCTTGATCAGCACTCCTACCCTAAAACGGGCCCAACTTTTCCACATGTGGACATTGATGAGGGTGCTTTTGTCCTTGGGACCAAATTATACTCCCACATGGTTCAGTGTGCTATGAATGCTGAATCCAGCTAACACTCCCTAGACACTCCTGCAGATATTAGAAGAATGGTTAGGTTGAAGCAATATAATAATTGCTTTACCTTCACCTTTGATAAGCTAGGTGGAATTTCCATCATTGCTTACACCTATCCATTATTTTCAGCTTTACAGGAGTGCCTTGGCATATTTGGAATTAAGCACCACTCTTATCGTCTGAACAGGGTGATATTCATTAGTTCACACCGTAGCAAAACTTAGCAAAACACTTTGCCATGGAAAACGTAACTTATTTGACAAGTTCAGATTGTTCAGGTAGGTTTCTTCCATTTGGTGCCTAATGAATACGACTCAGGGGTCAATCTGTTTTCTTATGTTAATAATGAGGTGGCTAGACCAGTTTTAGTCTTTATGACTTCATTTCTTTATCAGCACTATCATGTGTGATTTACATGTAGGCATATTATGTATATATCATATTATAGTAATGGGTCTTTCTATAAACTAGGGTACCAGTTAGGATTTCCTACACTGGACAACTTGTTACAGCTGTTGATAAGTCATTGATAATAATCTCTTTTTTTTTCTTAATGTTATTACATGAAGATATAAGGGGGATCATAGCTATATTCAATAAAATTCATGAGTTGATTTAAAACCTACAGTGCCTTGCAAAAGTATTCATCCCCCTTGGCATTTTTCCTATTTTGTTGCATTACAACCTGTAATTTAAATGGATTTTTATTTGGATTTCATGTAATGGACATACACAAAATAGTCCAAATTGGTGAAGTGAAATGAAAAAAATAACTTGTTTCAAAAAATTCAAAAAAATAAATAACAGAAAAGTGATGCATGCATATGTATTCACCCCCTTTGCTATGAAGCCCCTAAATTAGATCTGGTGCAACCAATTACCTTCAGAAGTCACATAATTAGTTAAATAAAGTCCACCTGTGTGCAATCTAAGTGTCATATGATCTGTCACATGATCTCAGTATACAGTGGGGGAAAAAATTATTTAGTCAGCCACCAATTGTGCAAGTTCTCCCACTTAAAAAATGAGAGAGGCCTGTAATTTTCATCATAGGTACACATCAACTATGACAGACAAATTGAGGGAAAAAAAGCTGGGACCAAAGTAACAAAGCCTACCATCAGTAACACACACTACTCCACCAGGGACTCAAATCCTGCAGTGCCAGACGTGTCCCCCTGCTTAAGCCAGTACATGTCCAGGCCCGTCTGAAGTTTTCTAGAGTGCATTTGGATGATCCAGAAGAGGATTGGGAGAATGTCATATGGTCAGATGAAACCAAAATAGATCTTTTTGGTAAAAACTCAACTCGTCGTGTTTGGAGGACAAAGAATGATGAGTTGCATCCAAAGAACACCATACCTACTGTGAAGCATGGGGGTGGAAACATCATGCTTTGGGGCTGTTTTTCTGCAAAGGGACCAGGACGACTGATCCGTGTAAAGGAAAGAATGAATGGGGCCATGTATTGTGAGATTTTGAGTGAAAACCTCCTTCCATCAGCAAGGGCATTGAAGATGAAACGTGGCTGGGTCTTTCAGCATGACAATGATCCCAAACACACCGCCCGGGCAACGAAGGAGTGGCTTCGTAAGAAGCATTTCAAGGTCCTGGAGTGGCCTAGCCAGTCTCCAGATCTTAACCCCATAGAAAATCTTTGGAAGGAGTTGAAAGTCTGTGTTGCCCAGCGACAGCCCCAAAACATCACTGCTCTAGAGGAGATCTGCATGGAGGAATGAGCCAAAATAGCAGCAACAGTGTGTGAAAACCTTGTGAAGACTTACAGAAAACGTTTGACCTGTGTCATTGCCAACAAAGGGTATATAACAAAGTATTGAGAAACTTTTGTTATTGACCAAATACTTATTTTCCACCATAATTTGCAAATAAATTCATTAAAAATCCTACAATATGATTTTCTGGATTTATTTTTCTCATTTTGTCTGTCATAGTTGACGTGTACCTATGATGAAAATTACAGGCCTCTCTCATCTTTTTAAGTAGGAGAACTTGCACAATTGGTGGCTGACTAAATATTTTTTTCCCCACTGTACATACATCTGTTCTGAAAGGCCCCAGAGTCTGCAACACCACTAAGCAAGGGGCACCACCCAGCAAGTGGCACCATGAAGACCAAGCAACTCTCCAAACAGGTCAGGGACAAAGTGGAGAAGTACAGATCAGGGTTGGATTATAAAAAAATATCCCAAACTTTGATCATCCCATGGAGCACCATTAAATCCATTATAAAAAAATTTAAACAATATGGCACCACAAGAAACCTGCCAAGAGAGGGCCGCCCACCAAAACTCACGGACCAGGCAAGGAGGACATTAATCAGAGAGGCAACAAAGAGACCAAAGATAACCCTGCAGGAGCTGCAAAGCTCCACAGCGGAGATTGGTGTATCTGTCCATACGGCCACTTTAAGACGTATACTCCACAGAGCTGGGCTTTACGGAAGAGTGGCCAGAAAAAAAGCCATTGTTTAAAGAAAAAAATAAGCAAACACGTTTGGTGTTTGCCAAAAGGCATGTGGGAGACTCCCCAAACATATGGAAAAGGTACTCTGGTCAGATGAGACTAAAATTGAGCTTTTTGGCCCTCTAGGAAAACGCTATGTCTGGCGCAAACCCAACACATCTCATCACCCCGAGAACACCATCCCCACAGTGAAGCATGGATGGCGCTAAATACAGGGAAATTCTTGAGGGAAACCTGTTTCAGTCTTCCAGAGATTTGAGACTGGGACGGAGGTTCACCTCCAGCAGGACAATGACCCTAAGCATACTGCTAAAGCAACACTCGAGTGGTTTAAGGGGAAACATTTAAATGTCTTGGAATGGCCTAGTCAAAGGCCAGACCTCAATCCAATTGAGAATATGTGGTATGACTTAAAGATTGCTGTACACCAGCGGAACCCATCCAACTTGAAGGAGCTGCAGCAGTTTTTCCTTGAAGAATGGGCAAGAATCCCAGTGGCTAGATGTGCCAAGCTTATAGAGACATACCCCAAGAGACTTGCAGCTGTAATTGCTGCAAAAGGTGGCTCTACAAAGTATGCCTACCACAAGTTCTGTTTTTTTGTCTTATTTCTTGTTTGTTTCACAAAAAAATGTATTTAGCATCGTCAAAGTGGTAGGCATGTTGTGTAAATCAAATGATACAAACCCCCCAAAAATCTATTTTAATTCCAGGTTGTAAGGCAACAAAATAGGAAAAATACCATGGGGGTGAATACTTTCGCAAGCCACTGTATGTTTAACCCTTTAAAACATTACTTTTCTGTTCTTTCATTTGTGGCAGTGTAAGTTGTCGTTATATCATATATTAAGCATTAATCAGTTAAATTAGACATTGAACTTGAACCCTGTAAGAATCCTGGATCAAGCTGTCAGACAGTTTTTTGTATAGAGATCTCAGAAATGCAGTGTCTCCTTATGTTATGGGGTGAAAACAGTTTTCATGGGCACACAAATCCAACATAATAAATGTGATTGCAAAATCGAATGTTTCTAACAGAAAGAGTCACCTTACCTTGATACTGAAAACCTAAATCGATACTGTCATTAACGTGGTTCTTCAAAATTATGCATAATACTTGTTGGATCCAGCTGATATGTTACATTTGGTATGGTTACATAAGACAGATCAACCTGGTCTCAGAGCTTTTCATATTATTCTGTAAATAAATCTGGGACACTCCATTTAGTATGATATGTTACGTTTTAATTTGTGGTTGCCCATCTCCCTTTTCGTATGATATATTACGAATTACAATTCGTATTAGATGTTACGAATTAGCAAAACGTACAATATGCAATAATTCTGCAGAGCGTTTGATATGTTACGAATTCTAGCTAGCTGGCTAACGTTAGCTAGGTTAGGGGTTAGGATTAAGGTTAGGGTTAAGTTTAGGAGTTAGGTTAAAGGGTTAAGGTTAGGGGAAGGGTTAAGGTTAAGGTTAGGGGAAGGGTTAGCTAAATGGGTTACGGTTAGGGTTTGGGGAAGGGGTTAGCTAACATGCTAAGTAGTTGCAAAGTAGCTAAAAAGTAGTAAGTAGTTGAAAAGTTGCTAAAGTTGTCCGTGATGAGATTTAAACTTGCAACCTTTGGGTTGCTAGACGTTCACGTTATACGTCCACCCATCCACCCTACTTTTTTGCCTTAAGTAACCATCTGTCTTATGTAACCATACCAAACTTAACATATCCTACTAATTTGAGTGTCCCGGATTTTTGTTTACTATGTTATGTCTAGTCTATGAGACCAGGCTGGACAAATGGTTACTTATAGAGTGGTTGGTCGGGGTGGATGGGTGGGCGTATAACACGAACCCAAAAGGTTGCGAGTTTGAATCTCATCACGGACAACTTTAGCATTTTAGCTAATTAGCAACTTACTACTTTTTAGCTACTTTCAACTACTTACCATGTTAGCTAACCCTAACCTTAACCCTTTTAGCTAACCCTTCCCCTAACCTTAACCCTTTAACCTAACTCTTAACCTTAACCCTAACCCCTATCTTTACCTTAGCCAACTAGCTAGAATTCATAACATATAATATGCTTTGCAAATTCGTAACATTGTACATTTAGCAAATTTGTATATATTGTACTTTTAGCAAATTTGTTACATATAATACGAATTATAATACGTAACATATACGAAATGGGCGATGAACATCCACAAATGAATACATACCATACCAAACATATACTATTGTAAATGGAGTGTCTCGGATTTATGTACAGAATAATACGAAATGCTCTCATTTTCACACATCTGATCCAGGAAATAAGGTGGGATTCAAATGGTGAGATTAATGCTACCGCTATTCATGGATTTATTATGTGTGCCTGCGTCTGCCACATAGGCTACAGAAAAATCGTCATGCATGCATCCAATCTATTTAGTCAGGCAATGTCCACATTATTCTCACATAGAATGTAATAATAATTTCACATTTTTAGCAGACGCTCTTATCCAGAGCGACTTACAGGAGCAATTAGGGTTAAGTGCCTTGCTCAAGGGCACTGACAGATTTTTCACCTAGTCGGCTCAGGGATTAGAACCAGCAACCTTTCGGTTACTGGCACAACGCTCTTACCCACTAAGCTACCTGCCGCCTTTCAATATCAATTGAAATTGGGCAAGGCCCCAAAAAAAGCATTATTCTTAAAGTGGTAATGGCCTACTTTTTTAAAAACACTTTTTGCATGCTTTTTGGGGGGAGGGGGGCGGGGTTCTATTTTAGGCCCTATATGTACAATTATATAAATTATACAAATGTATAACATTGAGGTCTTTGAAAATTACAATTAAGTGCTTGAAAAAGTCCCTAAAAGTCTTTGAATTTGACTTGCCAATGTCTGTATGAACCCTGCTTAAAGGATGTATAGTCCTAGGCCTATGCTGTTGTATAGGTGGTTATGGGTCAATTTGCATATATTCACTTTTATTCCTCTAAGTACACATGTGGAACTGCATGAAAATCCTTTTCATTTTAGTTTTCAAATTATTTAGAAATGTTGATCCCAATGTCACACATTGGCCCCATTATTTATAGAATACACTTACATTTGCTCTACTGTGTGTGTGTGTGCTTGTGTGCGTGCGTTTGTGTGCATGTGCATACTGTACGTATGTGTTTGTTTGTGTGTGTCACTGTGTCTGTATGTGTTTCTTTGTGCGTTTGTGTGTATGTATGCATTTGTGTGCATGTCAGGATGTTCCAGTGGTCCTATGAGTTTGGCCGAGCAGTCCTGTGTGTGGACTACATGGTCTTCACCCTTCGTCTCATCCACATCTTCGCCATTCACAAACAACTGGGGCCAAAGATCATCATCGTCGGCAAGATGGTAAGACTTACTGAAGCAACAAAATGAGACATGACTACGGCTGGGTTCAGTTATTAGAAAAAACATTTTTGGAATGCAAAGCTAACGTGTCCAATTAGTGGTTGGAGGTGTGAAAATAAGCACATTGATAAAAACCTTTCCCAGGTGTTTTATCCAAGAGGATAACGTATAAATTTGCACACTGGTATGATGCTCCCTAAGTCTTTAATGGTCTTGGCAAAGACCCTTGTTGGGTCGAAACGTTGCGCTTTTCTCATTTAACACTGTGGGACCATCATACATTTACATCATTTAGCAGACACTCTTATCCAGAGCGACTTACAAATTGGTGCATTCAACTTATGATAGCCAGTGGGACAACCACTTTTTTTTCATTATTTTTTTATTATTTTTATGGGGGGGTGGGGGAGAGAGGGGTAGAAGGATTACTTTTATACTATTACAGGTACTCCTTAAAGAGGTAGGGTTTCAAGTGTCTCCGGAAGGTGGTCAGTGAATACAGCTTTCCTGTATTCCTGTTATCTGAGAGAAAGGCTTTGGTAGTACACATGTTTTGACAGAATATAAACTTTCTGCACTCCCCCTTGTCTCACTCAGTAACTTTCCATACACCTGGTTCTTATCCACCCTCCATTGACCCCAACATATACATTCCTTATACATGTAAAGTAATCAATAAGTTATAGTACGGTAACATGAATAAGTATATTTCAAGCTAGAACCCAACAGAGCTTATTTAGAGCTTATGGACATGGACTTTTTCCACATTTTCTTACGTTACAGCCTTATTCTAAAATTGATTAAAATGTTTTCCCCCTCATCAATCTACACACAATACCCCATAATGACGAAGCAAAAATAGGTTTGTAGACATTTGTGCAAATGTAAATAAAATAAAAAACTGAAATGTAACATTTACATAAGTATTCAGACCCTTTACTCAGTACTTTGTTGAAGCCCCTTTGGCAGCGATTACAGCCTCGAGTCTTCTTGGGTATGACGCTACATTTTCAGGTCTTTCCAGAGATGTTTGATCAGGTTCAAGTCCGGGCTCTGGCTGGTCCACTCAAGGACATTCAGAGACTTGTCCCGAAGCCACTCCTGCGTTGTCTTGACTGTGTGCTTAGAGTCGTTGTCCTGTTGGAAGGTGAACATTCGCCCCAGTCTGAGGTCCTGAGCGCTCTGGAGCAGGTTTCCATCAAGGATCTCTCTGTACTTTTCTCTGTTCATCTTTCCCTATATCCTGACTCCCAGTCCCTGCCTCTGAAAAACATCCCCACAGCATGATGCTGCTGCCACCATGCTTCACCATAGGGATGGTGCCAGGTTTCCTCCAGATGTGACACTTGGCCTTCCCCAGATCTGTGCCTCGACATAATCCTGTCTCGGAGCTCTACAAACAATTACTTCGACCTCATGGCTTGGTTTTTGCTCTGAAATGCACTGTCAACTGTGGGACCTTATAGACAGGTGTGTGCCTTTCCAAATCATGTCCAATCAATTGAATTGACCAATTGAATTGACCACAGGTGGACTCCAATCAAGTTGTAGAAACATCTCAAGGATGATCAATGGAAACAGGATGCACCTGAGCTCAATTTCGAGTCTCATAGCAAAGGGTCTGAATACTTATGTAAATAAGGTATTTCTGTTTTTTAATTTTTAATACATTTGCAAAAATATCTGGTATTGTGTGTACATTAATAAGATTTGTATTTATTTAATCCATTTTAGAATAATACTGTAACATAACAAAATGTGGAAAAAGGGAAAGGTCCTGAATACTTTCAAATGCACTGTAATGCAATGTCTTGGCGTAATCCATCAGTGGAGGCAAGTGACTTGAAACATTTAGGAGGATGGGAGACCCACCGTATAGGCGTGGAATGCACGGAGACGACAAAGTGTCTTTCAAAAATCGTCAAAGACTAATTATTTTAACCTAAATCATTCAATAAGGAAATGTATAGTACAATATTATGGGGAATGGGAATGAGAGGGCTACTTACACAGTTTGGGAAGGGATTGCAGCAATGATTGAATGAGGGTATGAGGCATGAGTTGAGTTGTTCAGAGGCTTGACTTCAGTGCAGGACAGAATTTGACTGGGAAGACAAAAAAACAATAACACAACACACTACACAGTTAGACTAAAGAGCTAAGAATGAGTTAGTCCAGGCAAGGAGTAAAATCATTGATGTCTAATAATGTGATTGTGTTTGCGTATGTGATTGACTACATACAGTAATAAGAGAAAATTGATAGGGGGACTCACAGTGCTTGGAGAGGAAACATTCAATGTGCCAGTAAATGAGTGGGCACATGAGATGTGGCTTCAGTTCATGTCAGGAGAGAGTTGACAATGGTAGTGGAGTGGAGCTGTCATCACCTCTTAATCAGAGAACAGGAGGGGACTTAGCTGTAAATGCAAATAGCAGATACATTCCTTTACAGCTGCGCCGTCGTAGGTTTGAACAACAAGTTTCTCCATGAAGTTAAACTCACAAAGTCAAACAGACTGCGCAAAAGTTCCTGAATAAAGCCCTGATCATCCACATACCTGACGATAACTGACAACCGCAAGCAGAGTGGTGGGGAAATGTATACCCCCTGGGGCCTGGAGTTTTTCCTTATCTGATTAATCAGTTGTAAAAAGGTTTTATAAGGGCTATGATGGGACAGGTTTTTCCTAATCAGGTCACATTGTTTTAAAAAACAAAAAAAACTCCTGGCCCTGGGGAGATGAAAACCCTGTCAATCTGCAGCAACCTTATACTTGTTCATAGGAATTATATTTAGACTAGATTAGGAGGGGGATTTCCTCTACCCAGACACAGAGACAACAACTGATAGACAATTTAACTAACAGGGCTGAGCTTGCTTTATGCATGTTTGCATCATGCAGACCTATGCAACTGTAGGCCTTATAAAAAATCTGTCATGTTGATTGAGTAATTCCAGTTAATAATTTTGGATTGAAAACGTATTGGCAGCCTAGCCAGCCCAATTTTGAATATAAACCAAATTTGATCACATTCACATTTTCTCCTGACACACAATGGACTATAAATACATAATATTACCAATTAGTTACCCTGACCAAATGGTCAGCGCACATAGGCTGTATGCAGCTGCTCTTATTAGTAGCCTACAGTTGATCAGACTGAACATTTTTCTCGTTTTCATCCCATACAACATGTCAGATCTCTAAGGGTTAGGTGTAGCCTAGGCTGCTGCAACATTTATGTAATTAGTTTTTGCTTGTGTCTGTCCGGAGTGATTATGTGTTATCATCTTTGCTAAATAAAAACAGGAGGAAAGTGGAAAGCCTACTTGAGCGCGCTCGAAAAAATGCGCTGCATCAACCTCTCTCTTTAATCTAACTTTTAATAGATGATGGGATGGAAGCTATCAAATCATTCTGAATTGATTTCGACATCCCAGAAAAGACAGTACAAAGTTCCATATGTTCAGCAAGTAAAGCAGCAAGTACCGCTGCAAGCTCCTAGTAGTTGCAGTTGTTAGCGGAACTTTCCCTCTCGTTGTGTCCTCTAAAAACCAATTATTGCATGCCAAAAACGCAGTGGTGTTGATAAGCCGCTTGAGAACATCCCTGTTTCTTCTTACTTTCTCGTTGTGTTGCGCAGTTTGAATGCACAGACCTTCGTTCTTCAGGTCACTGTACCCCCCTTTCGCCCAAGACTTTCAAAAAGCAGGCAAGGCCAGTAATACAGGCGGCTTGATGAAAGGCTCCCTGTTAACCAGCTATACTTTTGATACCAATTGGTATTGAACGGCCTCACCTTTTCATCCTTCTTCATGAAACTGATCTCAGGCAGTGTACCCCAGAGAATGAAAGTGGTTCTTCTACAAAAAGTCAACAAAATTTGCAGTAGTGTTGGTGGTGAAAACTGCACGCTCGAGCTGGTAGCTAGCTACTGCTACTTGCTACTGAAGTTAGCAGGGCAAATTGAAATAGATTGCACTAACTGGACACAAAAATAAAGTTCTAAAATCAAGAAAACAATTTATAATCTACCTCCTCTGTCTCCTGTAATTTGAAGAAACTAATTTGAATTGAATAATATCCAAAAAATGCTCAACTAGAACTTTTCAATCTCTACCAATAATGTCACCAACTCCCCAAGATTCTCAACACATAGAACGCCCTCATAATGCTTTGCGGCACAACCCCAAAACAACACACTAAGTTCATTTTCTGATCGTAATCCTATGATTGGATGGACAACATGTCAGTTCATACTGCAAAAACCTACGAGCCTCCTAGGTTTTGTATTGAAGTCAATGTACCCAGAGGAGGACAGAAGCTAGCTGTCCTCCGGCTACACCATGGTGCTACCCCAGAGAGTGCTGTTGAAGTTACTATAGACCTTCATTACAAAACTGTGTGTTTTAATCAATTATTTGGTGACATGAACATATTTAGTATAGTTTTATCTAAAAAGGATAACTTTTTTAGTGTTTCACTATTTGTATTTTTATGAAATGTCACTGAGGAGGATGGTCCTCCCCTTCCTCCTCTGAGGAGCCTCCACTGTAATCCATGTTATATGTTTTGCTCTCCTATAGATGAAGGATATCTTCTTCTTCCTCTTCTTCCTGGGGGTGTGGCTTATGGCATACGGGGTGGCCAATCAAGCGCTGCTGTACTCCTATGACCCCCGCCCCGCCTGGATCTTCCGGCGCCTGTTCTACAGGCCATACCTGCACATATTTGGACAGATCCCAGTGGAGGAAATAGATGGTATTATGTGTGTAACGCCCGTACAAATTATACAGTGGGGGAAAAAAGTATTTAGTCAGCCACCAATTGTGCAAGTTCTCCCACTTAAAAAGATGAGAGAGGCCTGTAATTTTTATCATAGGTACACGTCAACTATGACAGACAAATTGAGAAAAAAATAATCCAGAAAATCACATTGTAGGATTTTTAATGAATTTATTTGCAAATTATGGTGGAAAATAAGTATTTGGTCACCTACAAACAAGCAAGATTTCTGGCTCTCACAGATCTGTAACTTCTTCTTTAAGAGGCTCCTCTGTCCTCCACTCATTACCTGTATTAATGGCACCTGTTTGTACTTGTTATCAGTATAATAGACACCTGTCCACAACCTCAAACAGTCACACTCCAAACTCCACTATGGCCAAGACCAAATAGCTGTCAAAGGACACCAGAAACAAAATTGTAGACTTGCACCAGGCTGGGAAGACTGAATCTGCAATAGGTAAGCAGCTTGGTTTGAAGAAATCAACTGTGGGAGCAATTATTAGGAAATGGAAGACATACAAGACCACTGATAATCTCCCTCGATCTGGGGCTCCACGCAAGATCTCACCCCGTGGGGTCAAAATGATCACAAGAACGGTGAGCAAAAATCCCAGAACCACACGGGGGGACCTAGTGAATGACCTGCAGAGAGCTGGGACCAAAGTAACAAAGCCTACCATCAGTAACACACTACGCCGCCAGGGACTCAAATCCTGCAGTGCCAGACGTGTCCCCCTGCTTAAACCAGTACATGTCCAGGCCCGTCTGAAGTTTGCTAGAGTGCATTTGGATGAACTCAATGTATCGTGAGATTTTGAGTGAAAACCTCCTTCCATCAGCAAGGGCATTGAAGATGAAACGTGGCTGGGTCTTTCAGCATGACAATGATCCCAAACACACCGCCCGGGCAACGAAGGAGTGGCTTCGTAAGAAGCATTTCAAGGTCCTGGAGTGGCCTAGCCAGTCTCCAGATCTCAACCCCATAGAAAATCTTTGGAGGGAGTTGAAAGTCCGTGTTGCCTTATTACTTATTTTCCATCATAATTTGCAAATAAGTTCATTAAAAATCCTACAATGTGATTTTCTGGAGAAAAAAAATCTAATTTTGTCTGTCATAGTTGACGTGTACCTATGATGAAAATTACAGGCCTCTCTCATCTTTTTAAGTGGGAGAACTTGCACAATTGGTGGCTGACTAAATAATTTTTTTCCCCACTGTATGTGATGCTTTCCAACTCAAAGCTGCCAAACTTTTCAATAAGATAAGAGTGGAAAACTCTGTAAACCTCTGTCCCTCTTGTCCTCCGTATTGTTTGTATCTGTCTGTCTGTCTCTCTCTCTCTCTCTTTCTCTCTCTCTCTCTCTCTCTCTCTTGCTCTCTCTCTCTCTCCCTCTCTGTCTGTCTGTCTGTCTGCATGCCCGTCTGTCTGTCTGTCTGTAGTGGGGAAGGAGTGGGACATGGAATGCACTGACAATGTGACGCTGATCGAGGGAGGCGCGGAGCCCTGCAGGAGCCAGTATGCTAACTGGCTAGTGATCATATTACTGGTCATCTACCTACTGGTCACCAACATCCTGCTCATCAACCTACTCATCGCCATGTTCAGGTAAAGGATGGACACCTCTGTTGGGACCCAGGGAATAGATTTCTCTAGGGGGGAGGTTCGGGAGTGATGTCTGAGCGAAGGCGTGATGGATTTCTTACGTTGCGTCTCATCCTATATATATAGCTTAGAGAGAGAGAGCTAGATGCTCTATATATTCGCTCTCTCTCTTATCTCATCTATATCTCTTCTCCGATATCGCTCTCTACTCTCTCTCTCTCTCTCTCTCTCTCTCTCTCTCTCTCTCTCTCTCTCTCTCTCTCTCTCTCTCTCTCTCCTTCCCTCTCACCTCCCTGAATCTTCAGTCTCTTATAAAATCTAGTCTGTCAACATAATTTTTACTGAAATTTTTACTATCATTTTCAGCTAAATACAATGCCTCGTCTTGTGTCCATTGTGGACCACATTATGTTAATTATGAATCCTTTCTCTTCTTCCCCTCTCCACACAGTTACACATTCTCTAAGGTGCAGTTCCAGAGTGACACCTACTGGAAGTTCCAGCGCTACAACCTGATTGTGGAGTACCACTCCCGGCCCTCCCTTGCTCCCCCTTTCATTTTCCTCTCCCACTTTCACCTCTTCATCAAGAGATACATCCGCAAGGTACCCTCGGTCAAGATCCTCCATTTTGGTGAGAATTCAACCCAGGTATTAATTCAAAAGGAATTTTAATATCCTGACTATCACTATAGGATCTCAATTGCTTAAAGGTGAAATCAGCAGTTGCTACATCAATTTTTGGACTTATACATTTATGATATGTACCCATTGAATCTTGAAGAATATAACTTATAAATGCCTCATGAGCTTGGTTTAACAGTCAGAACCAATGTTTATAAACAAAGTAAATGTAAATAAACACTGTATAGCTTCAAAACATGGTTAACACGATACTTTTGATATCATGGATGGTCAGTTCTTGAATCCTTAGCTCTGTCTATGAATTTGAGAATGATTACATTTCTCATTACATTTACATTACATTTTAGTCATTTAGCAGACGCTCTTATCCAGAGCGACTCACCAATTGGTGCGTTCACCCTATAGCCAGTGGGATAATCACTTTACAAATTTTTTTTTTGGGGGGGGGGGGGGGGGGGGTAGAAGGATTACTTTATCCTATCCCAGGTATTCCTTAAAGAGGTGGGGTTTCAAATGTCTCCGGAAGGTGGTGAGTGACTCCGCTGTCCTGGCGTCGTGAGGGAGCTTGTTCCACCATTGGGGTGCCAGAGCAGCGAACAGTTTTGACTGGGCTGAGCGGGAACTATGCTTCCGCAGAGGAAGGGGAGCCAGCAGGCCAGAGGTGGATGAACGCAATGCCCTCGTTTGGGTGTAGGGACTGATCAGAGCCCGAAGGTACAGAGGTGCCGTTCCCCTCACTGCTCCATAGGCAAGCACCATGGTCTTGTAGCGGATGCGAGCTTCAACTGGAAGCCAGTGGAGTGTGCGGAGGAGGGGGGGTGACGTGAGAGAACTTGGGAAGGTTGAACACCAGATGGGCTGCGGCATTCTGGATGAGTTGTAGGGGTTTAATGGCACAGGCAGGGAGGCCAGCCAACAGCGAGTTGCAGTAGTCCAGACGGGAGATGACAAGTGCCTGGATTAGGACCTGTGCCGCTTCCTGTGTAAGGCAGGGTCGTACTCTCCGAATGTTGTAGAGCATGAACCTGCAGGAGCGGGTCACCGCCTTGATGTTGGCGGAGAACGACAGGGTGTTGTCCAGGGTCACGCCTAGGCTCTTCGCACTCTGGGAGGAGGACACAGCGGAGTTGTCAACCGTGATGGCGAGATCATGGAACGGGCAGTCCTTCCCCGGGAGGAAGAGCAGCTCCGTCTTGCCAGGGTTCAGCTTGAGGTGGTGATCCGTCATCCATACTGATATGTCTGCCAGACATGCAGAGATGCGATTCGCCTCCTGGTTATCAGAAGGGGGAAAGGAGAAGATTAGTTGTGTATCGTCAGCGTAGCAATGATAGGAGAGGCCATGTGAGGATATGACAGAGCCAAGTGACTTGGTGTATAGGGAGAAAAGGAGAGGGCCTAGAACTGAGCCCTGGGGGACACCAGTGGTGAGAGCACGTGGTGCGGAGACAGCTTCTCGCCACGCCACTTGGTAGGAGCGACCGGTCAGGTAGGACGCAATCCAGGAGTGAGCCGCGCCGGAGATGCCCAGCTCGGAGAGGGTGGAGAGGAGGATCTGATGGTTCACAGTATCAAAGGCAGCAGACAGGTCTAGAAGGACAAGAGCAGAGGAGAGAGAGTTAGCTTTAGCAGTGCGGAGAGCCTCCGTGACACAGAGAAGAGCAGTCTCAGTTGAATGACCAGTCCTGAAACCTGACTGGTTTGGATCAAGAAGGTCATTCTGAGAGAGATAGCAAGAGAGTTGGCTAAAGACGGCACGCTCAATAGTTTTGGAAAGAAAAGAAAGAAGGGATACTGGTCTGTAGTTGTTGACATCAGTGGGATCGAGTGTTGGTTTTTTGAGAAGGGGAGCAACTCTCACTCTCTTGAAGACGGAAGGGACATGGCCAGCGGTCAAGGATGAGTTGATCAGCGAGGTGAGGTAGGGGAGAAGGTCACCGGAGATGGTCTGGAGAAGAGAGGAGGGGATGGGGTCAAGCGGGCAGGTTGTTGGGCGGCCTGCAGTCACAAGTCGCAGGATTTTATCTGGAGAGAGGGGAGAAAGAAGTCAAAGCATAGGGTAGGGCAGTGTGAGTAGGACCAGCAGTGTCATTAGACTTAACAAACGAGGATCGAATGTCGTCAACCTTCTTTTCAAAGTGGTTGACGAAGTCATCCACAGAGAGAGAGGAGGGGGGGGGGCGGGGGGGGGGGGGGGGATTCAGGAGGGAGGAAAATGTGGCAAAGAGCTTCCTAGGGTTAGAGGCAGATGCTTGGAATTTAGAGTGGTAGAAAGTGGCCTTAGCAGCAGAAACAGATGAAGAAAATGTAGAGAGGAGGGAGTGAAAAGATGCCAGGTCAGAGTTTAGTTTTCTTCCATTTCCGCTCCGCTGCCCGGAGCTCTGTTCTGTTAGCTCGCAATGAGTCATCAAGCCACGGAGCTGGAGGGGAGGACCGAGCCGGCCGGGAGGATAGGGGACACAGAGAGTCAAAGGATGCAGAAAGTGAGGAGAGGAGGGTTGAGGAGGCAGAATCAGGAGATTGGAGGGAGAAGGATTGAGCAGAGGGAAGAGATGATAGGATGGAAGAGTAGAGAGTAGTGGGAGAGAGAGAGCGAAGGTTGCGGCGGCGCATTACCATCTGTGTAGGGGCAGAGTGAGTAGTGTGGGAGGAGAGCGAGAGAGAAAAGGAAACAAAGTAGTGGTCGGAGACATGGAGGGGAGTTGCAGTGAGATTAGTAGAAGAGCAGCATCTAGTAAAGATGAGGTCAAGCGTATTGCCTGCCTTGTGAGTAGGGGGGGGATGGTGAGAGGGTGAGGTCAAAAGAGGAGAGAAGTGGAAAGAAGGAGGCAGAGAGAAATGAGTCAAATGTGGACATAGGGAGGTTGAAATCCCCCAAAACTGTGAGGGGTGAGCCATCCTCAGGAAAGGAACTTATCAAGGCGTCAAGCTCATTGATGAACTCTCCAAGGGAACCTGGAGGGCGATAGATGACAAGGATATTAAGCTTAAATGGGCTAGTGACTGTGACAGCATGGAATTCAAATGAGGAGATAGACAGATGGGTTAGGGGAAAAATTGAGAATGTCCACTTGGGAGAGATGAGGATTCCTGTGCCACCACCCCTCTGACCAGATGCTCTCGGGGTATGCGAGAACACATGGTCAGAGGAGGAGAGAGCAGTAGGAGTAGCAGTGTTTTCAGTGGTAATCCATGTTTCCGTCAGCGCCAGGAAGTCGAGGGACTGGAGATTAGCATAGGCTGGGATGAAGTCAGCTTTGTTGGCAGCAGAACGGCAGTTCCAGAGGCTGCCTGAGACCTGGAACTCCAGGTGTGGGGTGCGTGCAGGGACCACCAGGTTAGAGAGGCAGCAGCCACGCGGTGTGGGGCGTTTGTGTAGCCTGTGCAGAGAGGAGAGAACAGGGATAGGCAGAGGCATAGTTGACAGGCTGTAGCAAATGGCTACAATAATGCAGAGGAGATCGGAATGAAATGAACTAAACATCGGGAGAGTAGAGAGCAGGGCCTCCCTCACCAAAAACTTCTACTTCTAACAACTATAATTGTTTCACTGAACCACCCGAACAAAAACTCTACCAACTTCCACCTTTAGAAATCAGAATTGTTGTGAACCACAGCGGTTCAATGTTTAAAGGAATAGACTCAACCCACTTTATTCAGCTAGCTAACTATGACACCATAGCTTTCTCCAGCCCCATCCTTCAGCTTTTTACCGAAACAGTGGTGGGGCAAACGCTTTGTTATTGTTTAGACTTCTGATTGACCCTTTAAAAATATGTCCCCTCTCCTAAAGTTTTTTTTTTTTTTTTTCCTCACCTTTATTTAACCAGATAAGCCAGTTGAGAACAAGTTCTCATTTACAACTGCGACTTGGCCAAGATAAAGCAAAGCAGTGCGATAAAAACAACAACACAGAGTTACATATGGGGTAAACAAAACATAAAGTCAAAATACAACAGAAAATATATATACAGTGTGTGCGAAGTAGTAAATTATGGAGGTAAGGCAATAAATAGGCCATAGTGCAAAATAGTTACAATTTCGTATTAACACTGGAATGATAGATGTGAAAAAGATGATGTGCAAATAGAGATACTGGGGTGCAAATTAGCAAAATAAAAAACAATATGGGGATGAGGTAGTTGGATGGGCTGTGTGCAGGTGCAGTGATCGGTAAGCTGCTCTGACAACTGATGCTTAAAGTTAGTGAGGGAGATAAGAGTCTCCAGCTTCAGAGATTTTTGCAGTTCGTTCCAGTCATTGGCAGCAGAGAACTGGAAGGAATGGCGGCCAAAGGAGGTGTTGGCTTTGGGGATGACCAGTGAGATATACCTGCTGGAGCGCAGACTACGGGTGGATGTTGCTATGGTGACCAGTGAGCTAAGATAAGACGGGGATTTGCCTAGCAGTGATTTATAAATGACCTGGAGCCAGTGGGTTTGGCAATGAATATGTAGTGAGGGCCAGCCAACAAGAGCGTACAGGTCACAATGGTGTGTAGTATATGGGGCTTTGGAGACAAAACAGATGGCACTGTGATAGACTACATCCAATTTGCTGAGTAGAGTGTTGGAGGCTATTTTGTAAATGACATCGCCGAAGTCAAAGATCGGTAGGATAGTCAGTTTTACGAGGGCATGTTTGGCAGCATGAGTGAAGGAGGCTTTGTTGCGAAATAGGAAGCTGATTCTAGATCTAACTTTTGATTGGAGATGCTTAATGTGAGTCTGGAAGGAGAGTTTACAGACTAACCAGACGCCTAGGTATTTGTAGTTGTCCACATACTCTAGGTCAGACGTGGGATGGGCGGGTGCAAGCAGCGTTCGGTTGAAGAGCATGCATTTAGTTTTACTAGTGTTTAAGAGCAGTTGGAGGCTACGGAAGGAGGGTTGTATGGCGTTGAAGCTCGTTTGGAGGTTTGTTAACACAGTGTCCAATGAAGGGCCAGATGTATACAAAATGGTGTCGTCCGCATAGAGGTTGATCCGAGCGTCACCAGTAGCAAGAGCGACATCATTGATATACACAGAGAATAGAGTCGGCCCGAGAATTGAATCCTGTGGCACCCCCATAGAGACTGCCAGGGGTCCAGACAACAGGCCCTCCGATTTGACACATTGAACTCTATCTGATAAGTAGTTGGTGGACCAGGCGAGGCAGTCATTTGAGAAACCAAGGCTATTTAGTCTGCCAATAAGCCTTGGCCAGGTCGATGAAGACGGCTGCGCAGTACTGTCTTTTATTGATCGCGGTTATAATATCGTTTAGGACCTTGAGCGTGGCTGATGTGCACCCATGACTCGGAAACCGGATTGCATAGCGGAGAAGGTACGGTGATTTTCGATTGGGTCAGTGATCTGTTTGTTAACTTGCCTTTCAAAAACTTTCGAAAGGCAGGGCAGGATGGATATAGGTCTGTAACAGTTTGGATCTAGAGTGTCACCCCCTTTGACCGCGGCAGACGTTACGAAAGAGAGGTTGAACAGGCTAGTAATAGGGGTTGCAACAATTTTGGTGGCTAATTTTAGAAAGAAAGGGTCCAGATTGTCTAGCCCAGCTGATTTGTAGGGGTCCAGATTTTTCAGCTCTTTCAGAACATCAGCTGTCTGAATTTGTGTGAAGGAGAAGCGGGGGGGGGGGGGGCATGGGCAAATTGCAGCGGAGGGTGCAGAGCTGGTGGTCAGGGTAGTGGTAGCCAGGTGGAAAGCATGGCCAGCCGTAGCAAAATGCTTGTTGAAATTCTCGATTATTGTAGATTTATCGGTGGTGACAGTGTTTCCTAGCCTCAGTGCAGTGGGCAGTTGGGAGGAGGTGCTCTTATTCTCCATGGACTTTACAGTGTCCCACAATTTTTTGGAGTTAGTGCTACAGGATGCAGATTTCTGTTTGAAAAAGCTAACCTTTGCTTTCCTAACTGATTGTGTATATTGGTTCCTGACTTCCCTGAAAAGTTGCATTTCGCGGGGGCTGTTCGATGCTAATGCAGTACGCCACAGGATGTTTTTGGCTGGTCAAGGGCAGTCAAGTCTGAGGAGAACATGGGCTATATCTGTTCTTAGTTCTGCCAAGGCACAACACACTGTGTGACCTCAGGCCCCGTGTCTGTGCCTATGTTTGTGTTGCTTCATAGTCCCCGCTGTTCCATAAGATGTCGTTTTTATCTCTTTTTTAAATCAAATTTTACTGCTTCCATCAGTTACTTGATGTGGAATAGATTTCCCTGTAGTCATGGCTCTATGTAGTACTGTGCGCCTCCCATAGTATTTTCTGGATTTGAGGTATGCATGAGTGTCCGAACTGTGCGCCATTAGTTCAAACAGACAGCTCGGTGTATTCAACATGTGAATACCTCTGATAAATACAAGTAGTGATGAAGTCAATCTCTCCTCCACTTTGAGCCAGGAGAGATTGACATGCATATTATTAATGTTAGCTCTCTATGTATATCCAAGGGCCAGCCGTGCTGCCCTCTTCAGAGCCAATTGGATTTTCCTAAGTCCCTTTTTATGGCACCTGACCACACGACTGAACAGTAGTCCAGGTGTGACAAAACTAGGGCCTGTAGGACCTGCCTTATTGATAGTGCTGTTAAGAAGGTAGAGGAGTGCTTTATTATGGACAGACTTCTCCCCATCCTAGCTACTGTTGTAAACATTTGTTTTGACCATGACAGTTTACAATCCAGGGTTACTCCAAGCAGTTTAGTCACCTCAACTTGCTCAATTTCCACATTATTTATTACAAGATTTAGTTGAGGTTTGGGGTTTAGTAAATGATTTGTCCAAAATGCAATGCTTTTAATTTTTGAAATATTTAGGACTAACTTATTCCTTGCCACCCACTCTGAAATTAACTGCAGCTCTTTGTTAAGTGTTGCAGTCATTTCAGTCGTTGTAGTAGCTGACGTGTATAGTGTTGAGTCATCCACATACATAGACACACTGCCACATACATAGACACACTGGCTTTACTCAAAGCCAGTGGCATGTTGTTAGTAAAGATTTTAAAAAGTAAGGGGCCTAGACAGCTGCCCTGGGGAATTCCTGTTTCTACCTGGATTATGTTGGAGAGGCTTCCATTAAATGACACCCTCTGTGTTCTGTTAGACAGGTAACTCTTTATCCACAATATAGTCGGGGGTGTAAAGCAATAACTCATACGTTTTTCCAGCAGCTGACTATGATCGATAATGTCAAAAGCCGCACTGAAGTCTAACAAAACAGCCCCCATGATATTTTTATCATCAATTTTTCACAGCAAATCATCAGTCATTTGTGTAAGTGCAGTGCTTGTTGAATGTCCTTTCCTATAAGTGTGCTTGAAGTCTGTTTACTGTAAAATAGCATTGTACCTGGTCAAACACCATTTTCCCCAATAGTTTACAAAGGTTTGGTAACAGGCTGATTGGTAGGCTATTTGAGCCAGTAAAGGGGGCTTTACTATTCTTAGGTAGCATAATGACTTTTGCTTCCCTCCAGGCCTGGAGGTACACACTTACAGTAGGCTTAAACTGAAAATATGGCAAATAGGAGTGGCAATATCGTCCGCTATTATCCTCTGTAAATTTCCATCCAAGTTGTCAGACCCCGGTGGCTTGTCATTGTTGATAGACAACAATAATATTTTCACCTCTTCCACACTCAGTTTATGGAATTCAAAATGACAATGCTTGTCTTTCATAATTTGGTCAGATATACTTGGATGTGTAGTGTCAGTGTTTGTTGCTGACATGCCTATGTTTGCTAATCTTGTCAATGAAAAAATCATTAAAGTAGTTGGCAATATCAGTCGGTTTTGTGATGAATGAGCCTATCTGATTCAATGAACGATGGAGCTGAGTTTGCCTTTTTTCCCAAAATTTCATTTAGGTGCTCCAAAGCTTTTTACTATACTTGTTTATGTCATTTATCTTTGTTTCATCATATTTTTATTCAGTTTAGTCACATGATTTCTCAATTTGCAATATGTTTGCCAGTCGGTTGTGCAGCCAGACTTATTTGCCATTAGTTTTGCCTCATCCCTCTCAACCATACAATTTTTCAATTCCTCATCAATCCACTGGGATTGAACAGTTTTTACAGTCACTTCCTTAATGGGTGCATGCTTATTAGTAACTGGAATAAGCAATTTCATAAATGTGTCAAGTGCAGCGTCTGTTTGCTCCTCATTACACACCACCGACAAACACAAATTATTTACATCAACAACATAGGAATCACTAAAAAACGTATTGTATGACCTCTTATACACTAAATTAGGCCCAGCCTTTGGAACTTTGCTTTTCCTAGATATGGCTACTATATTGTGATCACTATATCCGATGGATCTGGATACTGCTTTCAAGCTAATTTCTGCAGCATTAGCAAAGATATGATCAATACATGTTGATGATTTCATTCCTGTGCTGTTTGTAACTACCCTGGTAGGTTAACTGATAACCTGAACCAGGTTGCAGGCACTGGTTACAGTTTAAAGCTTTTTCTTGAGTGGGTAGCTTGATCAAAGCCAGTCAATATTTAAATCACCCATAAAATATACCTCTCTGTTGATATCAGAGAGGTAGCTCAGTTGGTAGAGCATGGCGTTTGCAACGCTAGGGTTGTGGGTTCGTTTCCCACGGAGGGCCGGAGGGCCAGGGGGCCAGTATGAAAAAAAGATTATGCACTCACTTAACTGTAAGTCGCTCTGGGTAAGAGCGTCTACTAAATGACTAAAATGTAAAATCACATACATTATCAAGCATTTCACACATGTTATCCAGATACTGACTGTTAGCACTTGGTGGTCTATAGTAGCTTCCCAAAAGAATGGGCTTTAGGTGAGGCAGATGAACCTGTAGCCATATTACTTCAACTGTATTTAGGCAAAGACTAGGAGTTTGCATATACCAGTAATTTCCTTTCAAATTCGTGAAGGTAAGTGATCAAGCACACACTTCAGGAGGCCATGTCTTCTTTGTGTATGGTAAACTGATATAGGTGGTGAAGTCGGCGCAGTCTTGTTGGATCTTAAAAAAGCCTTTGAAACTGTGAATCATGTCCTCCTATCCAAACTATCCTCCCTTAATGTGTCCACTGAAGCCATTAGTTGGATCTATTCCTATCTGAGAAACAGAAGTCAAAAGGGTTCGTCTGGGGGACACTCAGTCGGACTCTTTTTACTATAACATTGGGGTCCCACAAGGGTCAATATTAGGCCCCCTTCTGTTTACCATCTATATAAATGATCTCCCACTTGCTTGCCCACAAGTTAACATGCCAATGTATGCAGACGATACGTATGTACACAAACAGACAAGTTGTTAACAAGTTAACTGAAGCTATGATACACGTTTCTAAATGGATTACTGATTCTTGTTTGCATTTAAATATCGACAAGACTGTTTGTATGTACTTCTCAAAAAAATCCATTGATTCTTCCCAACGAGCTGTTCTTGTTAATGGGGAGAATATGAAAGTTGTGTCTAACTTCAGGTATCTCAGCGTCATTTTGGACTCCAACTTGAAATTTAAGAAACATGTGAAGAAGGTGGTAAACACGGTAAAGTTTGGATTATCCAAATTTAGGTTTATAAGACCTTACCTTCCTCTGGAGGCTGCCAAACTATATATGCATGCTATGATCTTCTCACATCTGAGATATTCACAAGCAGGAGCTACTATTCTGAAACCAATTGAATCACTCTACAAACAAACACTTAAGATTTTTGATAACAAACCAAACAGTTGCCACCATTGTCACATCAATCACAAACATTATTTATTCAGTCTGGATAGCTTTAAGCAGTATATAGATGCAAGCCTTGTCTTTAAGATCATGCATGGTCTTGCCCCTCCACCGTTATGCCGACATATCATGCTCAAGGAAAGCACCTGCAGGATAACAAGGGCAGTAACTAGAGGGGATTGCGTTGTCCCTTTTCGACACAGAAAATTCTCTGTTAGAGCTACAATATAGTAGAATGTAATACCCATGGACTTGAAAAGCTGCACTGATTATTGCACTTTTACATTTAAATTGAAAACATGGCTCAAATCTATCCAAACCTGTGCACATTAGTTATCTGTGGTTCCTCATACTGTATGTAAGACGACAGTGTTTTCATTACGAAGAAGTTGTTGTTGTTGTTAGAATTATATATTATTGGATGTAATGTATTTGTATTTTGTATTGTTTTAGTGTGTATATGTATTGTGGCTGTGTAATTGCCTTTACCTGCCCTGGGACTACAGGTGCAAATTAGCTTTTGGCTAACCCCTGCACATTTACATGGATGTTGCATTATTGTAATATTAATGCTGATTAATGTGCATTGTCCCCTATAAATAAATACATAAATAAATAAATAAAAAAGGAGAGATTATTGGGCAACAACCTCTGTGTCTGACAGAGAGTTTAACATGCTAACTACTGGTTTCCTACCACAGGAGGTTGGTGGCACCTTAAATGGGGAGGACAGGCTCGTGGTAATGGCTGGAGCGGAATAAGTAGAATGGTATCAAATACATCCCTTTCATTTGCTCCGTTCCAGCCATTATTATGAGCCATTCTCCACTCAGCAACCTCCTGTGTTTCCTACCTCACGCTAACCATCAGCACGACTAACACATTTTCCACCTCTGTTAGTATTGGAGCTGAAGGGGAAAGCAGCTAACAGGCTAATGACATGGGAGGCCATTCAGAAGGAGAACTTCCTGACAGCCCAGAGCAAGATCCAGAGAGGGAGTGACTCTGAGAGGCTCAAACGGATGTCAGTCAAGTGAGTCAACCTTTACACCCACCCTCCAGTTTGGATCCATCTCTCTTTCAGCATTTTTCTCTACCAATTTAACTACAGCCTTTTCTAGATATTGTGGATATTTATGGATATTATGAATATATTTATATTTACATGTTACATGTACAGTAGTCTACATATAAATGTATTGTATACAGTACCAGTCAAAATTTGGTACACTCCTACTCATTTTTCTTTATTTTTACTGTTTTCTATATTGTAGAATAATAGTGAAGACATGAAAACTATGAAATAACACATATGGAATCATGTAGTAACCAAAAAATATTATTCAAAGTAGCCACCCTTTGCCTTGATGACAGCTCTTGGCATTCTCTCAACTCATGAGGTAGTCACCTGGAATGCTTTTCCAACAGTCTTGAAGGAGTTCCCACATATGCTGAGCACTTGTTGGCTGCTTTTGCTTCACTCTGCGGTCCAACTCATCCCTAACCATCTCAATTGGGTTGAGGTCGAGTGATTGTGGAGGCCAGGTCATCTAATGCAGCACTCCATCACTCTCCTTCTTGGTAAAATAGCCCTTACACAGCCTGGAGGTGTGTTTTGGGTCATTGTCCTGTTGAAAAACAAATGATAGTCCCACTAAGCGCAAACCAGATGGGATGGCGTATCACTGCAGAATGCTGTGGTAGCCATGCTGGTTAAGTGTGCCTTCAATTATAAATGAATCACAGACAGTGTCACCAGCAAAGCACCCCCACACCATCACACCTCCTAATCCATGCTTCACGGTGGGAACCACACATGTGGAGATCATCCGTTCACCTACTCTGCGCAATATGTACAGTGCCCTCCACAATTATTGGCACCCCTGTTTAAGATGTGGTCGAGGACTTCCAAAAATTCTCCTTTTTTTTTAAACATCATAGAACCCAAATGCAAAAAAATAGAAAAATCCAACCTTTTATTTAAGTACATTACTTTGGTGTAAAAAAAAAAAATTCACACATTTAGAAAAAAAAAAACTTGAAATCATGTGTCCCACAATTATTGCCACCCCTGATGTTAATACTTTGTACAACCCCCTTTTGCCAACAAGACAGCACTTAATCTCCTCCTATAACATTTCACAAGATTGGAGAACACAGAGAGAGGGATCTTTGACCATTCTTCTTTGCACAATCTTTCTAGATCATCCAGTGCACTCTCCTCTTTAGCTCGCCCCACAGGTTTTCGATTGGGTTGAGGTCTGGGGACTGAGATGGCCATGGGAGGACCTTGAGTTTGTGACTGCTGAACCATTTATGTGTAGATTTTGCCACATGTTTTGGATCATTATCCTGCTGAAAGACCCAATGACGACCCATCTTCAGCTTTCTGGCAGAGGCCATCAGGTGTTTATTTAAAATGTCCTGGTAGTTCAAAGCGTTCATAATGCCATGCACCCTAACAAGGTTCCCAGGGCCTTTGGAAGAGAAACAGGCCCACAGCATCACAGATCCTCCACCATACTTCACGGTGGGCATGAGGTGCTTTTCGGCATACTCATCTTTTGTTTTACACCAGACCCACTTAGAGTGTTTGTTGCCAAAAAGCTCAATCTTAGTCTCATCTGACCAAAGCACACGATCCCAGTTGAAGTCCCAGTGCCGCTTAGCAAACTCCAGACGTTTACGTTTGTGAGTGTTAATGAGAAAAGGCTTTTTCCTTGCATGCCTCCCAAACAGCTTGTTGGCATGTAGATAGCGTCTGATGGTTGTTTTGGAGACTTTGTGACCCCAATATGCCACTCTTTGATGCAATTCTGTGACAGTGAGCTTAGGACTTTTTTTTACTTCTCTTACCATCCTCCTCACTGTGCGTTGTGGCAAGATAAACTTGGGACCTCTTCCAGCCTTGTTTGTCACCTGTTTCAGTTGTTTTAAACTTCTTAATGATTCCTCTGACTGTAGATACGGGCAAGTTAAGGCGAGTGGCTATTTTCTTGTAGCCATTGCCTGACTTATGAAGGTCGACACAAATCTGCCTTACTTGAATGGTGTGTTCTCTTGTCTTTGCCATGTTGACAAATGGGTAAGAGAATTAGGCCTCTGTGTCACGTCATATTTATACCCCAGGGAAACAGGAAGTCATGAATTACTAATTAAAAGTTCCTAGATACCCTGACCAACTTTAGCAACTACAGAAAAATATATTTAAAAAAAAATCAATTACAATTTTCAGCGAAATTGTTAGGGGTGCCAATAATTGTGGGACACATGATTTCAAGTTTTTTTTTTCTAAATGTGTGATTTTTTTTTTTACCACCAAAGTAATGTACTTAAATAAAAGGTTGGATTTTTCTCTTTTTTTGCATTTGGGTTCTATGTTGTTTAAAAAAAAAAGGAGCATTTTTGGAAGTCCTCGACCACATCTTAAACAGGGGTGCCAATAATAGTGGAGGGCACTGTACATGTGTTTTGGGGAAGAAGGGATTGGGGGCAAATGTTTTAAATTGTGCAGTATTTAGCAATCATAATAAAAGTCTGGTAGCAGCAGTTGTGATGTGTGTGTAGCATGAATGTGTGTGTGTGTGAATGCATGTGTGCTAAGGTGCAGAGAATCAGAGCAGGTGATCAGTCCAGTTCAAGTGTTTAGCGGTCTGATGGCTTGTAGATTGGCGTACCAGGCCGTGATGCAACCGGTCAGGACGCTCTCGATGGTGCCGCTGTAGTATTCGGAGAGGACCCGGGGTGGCATGCCACATTTCTTCAGCCGCCACAACAGTGGTGGTGTTGTTGGTCCGTGTCAAGTCCTAGGGGATATGGAGGCCGAGGAATTTAAAACTGCTGACTATCTCTACTGCAGTCCCGTTGATGTGAATCGGGGCATGTTCCCTCCTCTGCGTCTTGAAGTCAACAATCAACTCCTTTGTTTTGCTGATGGTGATGGAGAGGTTGTTGTCCTGGTACCACAATGCCAATTATTTTACCTCCTCCCTATAGACTGACTCATCGTTGCTGGTTAACCATGGTGTCATCAGCAAACTTGATGATGGAGTTGTGGGTGAACAGGGAGTACAGCAGAGGGTTGAGGACACACCCCTTGAGGGCCCCTGTGTTAACAGTCAGTGTGGAGGAGGTGTTGTTGCCAATCCTCTTAGGCTGTGGTCTGCCTGTCAGGAAGTCCAGGATCCAGTTGCAGAGGGTGGTGTCCAGACCCAGGGCTCTGAGCTTGGTGTCGAGCTTGGAGGGAAAAATAGTGTTGACTGCTGAACAGCATTCTCACATAGGTGTTCCTCATGTCCAGATGTGTTATGGGCGTGTGAATAGCGATGGAAATGGCATCTTCCGTGGTTCTGTGTGGTAGGTAATTTGGAGTGGGTCCAGTGTGCCTGGCATGCTGAGGTACAGATGTTACATTTACATTTTAGTCATTTAGCAGACGCTCTTATCCAGAGCAATTTACAGTTTTTCATACTGGTCCCCCGTGGGAATCAAACCCACAACCCTGGCGTTGCAAGCACCATGCTCTACCAACTGAGCTACACAGGACTATGATGTAGGATCTTAATTTAAGGCAGTTTGCTACAGAAGGAAAATTATCCTGCAGCAACAGGAAATGTGAGTTATTATGTGGATTATATTTAATGGACATTTTTGTAGTGGTAAATTTTTCGTTTGGACAAATCACATTTCTACGTGGAAATTACAAACTTTAGAAGCCTTTTTAAACCTCAAATACACTACAAGTTTGCAGCGACAAAAGTGATCAAATTAAGATCCTACATCTGTATTGAAAGGTATTGAAAACAGGGATTCCAATAATTTTGACACCTATCTTTTTGAGCAAAACAAATTATTACTTGTTAAACAAAATCTCTTTCTCTGAGCAATTGTATTAGTGTAAATGTTTTGCATACAATATAGTTCTGTATTTGTATTCTTTATTTTATACAGTATTTTTTGCTTATCTTTATCAAGGGTGCAAATAATTTTGGACCTATGTGTTTGCTGTGTGACAGGGTGGACAGTGTGCTGAAACAGATGGCTGAGACAAGGGATCATGATCGCAGACTGAGGGCTCTGGAATCGGAGGTCAGGCTTACAGTTTGTTCCAACATTCTGTGTATGTGTGTGTATGTGTGATTTAGATTAGCTGTCTCAGTATGTGTGTGCTTGATTGTTTCCACCTGCAGACAAAGAGAGAGTAAGGGCAGGGTTGCTCCAGCTTTTTTAGCTTGTGATTGTTGCTTGTGATGCCAATTGAGCCATTTATTTATATGAAATGGAAGTGTGTGTGTGTTTCAAGTTTCAAGTTTTATTAGTTGAATGTACAGGATACACATGGTACACTGTCCAACGAAATGCTTACTTGCAGGTTCCTTCCCGACAATGCAAGTAAATAGCTCAGTATATATTTTTTTGTACGCAAGTATAATACAGGAAGGCACAATTTATAGAACAATATTTACACATGTATCAGGGAAGGGGGGATTGTGTGTGTGTGTGAGTGTGTGTGTGTGTGTGTCACTTCACTTATCCCCGTCACGCCGGCTGGCGCATAGGGCAGAAACAACGGCACTCCATTTCTGTCTGTCTCTGGCCATCTTCTCCACCGTGCCCCTGCTCTGCTGATGTTGGAGCTTGGTCTCCATTGTTCTATGCCACGTTGTCTTGGGACTCCCCCTCTTACGTCTGCCCTCTGAAGTTCAATAGACAGCTATTCTTGGGATAGAGTCTGTACTCTTTATCAGGACGTGTCCAATCCAGCTCCAGCAGCGTATCGAGTATGGCATCCTGCTTCGTTTGTCTAAGGAGGTTGATCTTTAATATTGTGTTTGGCCAGAAGATGTGTATGATTCTCCAGAGACAAGTTGTGTGGAAGGTACAGTGGCTTGCGAAAGTAATCACCCCCTTTGGCATTTTCCTATTTTGTTGCCTTACAACCTAAATAATAATAATAATATGCCATTTAGCAGACGCTTTTATCCAAAGCGACTTACAGTCATGCGTGCATACATTTTTGTGTATGGGTGGTCCCGGGGATCGAACCCACTACCTTGGCGTTACAAGCGCCGTGCTCTACCAGCTGAGCTACAGAGGACCACCTGGAAATAAAATGGATTTTATGGGGGTTTGTATCATTTGTTTTACACAACATGGCTACCACTTTGAAGATGCAAAATATGTTTTATTGTGAAACAACAATAACAACAACAATAAGACAAAAAAACTGAAAACTTGAGCGTGCATAACTATTCACTTCCCTAAAGTCAATACTTTGTAGAGCCACCTTTTGTAGCAATTACAGCTGCAAGTCTCTTGGGGTATGGTTCTATAAGCTTGGCACATCTAGCCACTGGGATTTTTGCCCATTCTTCAAGGCAAAACTGCTCCACTTCCTTCAAGTTGGATGGGTTCTGCTGGTGTACAGCAATCTTTAAGTCATACCACAGATTCTCAATTAGATTGAGGTCTGGGCTTTGACTAGGCCATTCCAAGACATTTAAATGTTTCCCCTTTAAACTACTTGAGTGTTGCTTTAGCAGTATGCTTAGGTTCATTGTCCTGCTGGAAGGTGAACCTCCGTCCCAGTCTCAAATCTCTGGAAGACTGAAACAGGTTTCCCTCAAGAATTTCCCTGTATTTAGCGCCATCCATCATTCCTTCAATTCTGACCAGTTTCCCAGTCCCTGCCAATGAAAAACATCCCCAGAGCATGATGCTGCCACCACCATGCTTCACTGTGGGGATGGTGTTCTAGGGATGATGAGAAGTGTTGGGTTTGCGCCAGACATAGTGTTTTCCTTGTTGGCCAAAAAGCTCAATTTTAGTCTAATCTGACCAGAGTACCTTCTTCCATATGTTTGGGGAGTCTCCCACATGGCTTTTGGCGAACACCAAACGTGTTTGCTTATTTTTTTCTTTAAGCAATGGCTTTTTTCTGGCCACTCTTATGTAAAGCCCAGCTCTGTGGAGTGTATGCAAATGTATGCACTCACTAACTGTTAGTTGCTCTGGATAAGAGCGTCTGCTAAATGACTAAAATGTAAAGTGTAAATGTACGGCTTGAAGTGGTCCTATGGACAGATACTTCAATCTCTGCTGTGGAGCTTTGCGACTCTTTCAGGGTTATCTTTGGTCTCTTTGTTGCCTTTCTGATTAATGCCCTCCTTGCCTGGTCCGTGAGTTTTGGTGGGCGGCCCTCTCTTGGCAGGTTTGTTGTGGTGCCATATTCTTTCCATTTTTTTATAATGGATTTAATGGTGCTCTGTGGGATGTTCAAAGTTTCAGATATTTCTTTATAACCTAACACTGATCTGTACTTCTCCAAACTTTGTCCCTGACCTGTTTGGAGAGCTCCTTGGTCTTCATGGTGCCACTTGCTTGGTGGTGCCCCTTGCTTAGTGGCGTTGCAGATGCTGGGGCCTTTCAGAACAGGTGTATATATACTGAGATCATGTGACAGATCATGTGATACTTAGATTGCACACAGGTGGACTTTATTTAACTAAAAATGTGACTTCTGAAGGTAATTGGTTGCACCAGATCTTATTTATGGGCTTCATAGCAAAGGCGGTGAATACATATGCACGCACCACTTTTCCGTTATTTATTTGTTCTAATTTTTTGAAACAAGTTATTTTTTTCATTTCACTTCACCAATTTGGACAACTTTGTGTATGTCCATTACATGAAATCCAAATAAAAATCAATTTAAATTACAGGTTGTAATGCAAAAAAATAGGAAAAAATAACAAGTTCATCTGGAAACTTTCATTATGCTCCACACCCTAAGAAGGCCTCTGTAAAACGGAGGTACTCCCTCCCTAGAAATCTGGCTACTATCAACCAAAAATAAAGCCTTCTTTAAACCTAATCCTCCAACCTGCTGTAATACAAGACCTGCCACCCCTCTCCAAACCACAATTTCCAGTCCATAAAGCAACCTTTGAATAAACTGAAAGCAGAAAGCAGCAGCCCTACTAGCAAGATGTACAAGCCCTTGTCCCCCCTCCTCTTTTGACAAATACAAAAGACTTTGTGGAACCCAATGATATTTATCCCAAAATATATCTACAATAATCACCTGTAGCTTAGCCAGAAGGCCAGATGGTGGCTCTAAAACTGACAACCGATGCCACAGTGCAGAGGCAATCACATTGTTAACTATAATAGTGCGCCCCCTATATGACATACGAGATAACAACCAATGCCATCTCCTCATCCTCCCTTCCACCATTTCAACCACCCCAATCCAATTATTTTCCATTGTCCCCTCATCTCCTAGGTATACTCCAAGATACTTAAAACCTCCATTACACCATTCCAGCCCCCCTGGCAAAGCCATGATCCCTCCAGACCATTCTCCAATCTGTAAAGCACAACTTTTTTCCCAATTTACCTTTGCAGAGGATATTCCCCTAAAACGATCAACCATTAGACTCAAACTATCCACCTCCGCTTGATTTTTCACTAAAACAACTACATCATCAGCATAGGCTGAGAGACGAATAGGAGGAATATCTTCTGAAAGGTACACCCCTTCAATGCGACTTCTAATGCTATTTAGTAGTGGCTCTATAGCAATGGCATATAACATTCCCGACAAAGAACATCCCTGCCTAATACCTCTACACGCTTTAAAAGGAGCACTCAAACCACCGTTAACTTTCAATACACTTTCAATGTCACCATATATCACCTTTATGATGGCAATAAAACCAGAGCTGAACCCAAACGCCTCAAAAGTGTGCCATAAGTATTGATGTTCAACTCGGTCAAATGCCTTTTCCTGATCAATTGAAATTAGACCAGCATCCAACCCAATAGCTCTAGAGACGTCCAAAAAATCACGAATCAGAGAAATGTTATCTGCCTGCCAGGAACACAGTAGGACTGGTCTGTATGTATGATTTGCCCCATCACCTCCCTCAGCCTGTTGGACAAAGCCTTTGACAGGATCTTATAATCAGTGCACAATAAACCCACTGGCCTCCAGTTCTTCACCTCCCTAGGGTCAACCTTTTTGGGCAGTCGGGTGAGGATAGCCCTTCTGCAGCTTATTGGTAGTAACCCTCCGGTTAAACTATCATTAACTACTGCTAGCCAATCCTCTCATCCAACATAGCCCAAAAATACTTAAAAAAGTCAACGGGAAGCCCATCAGTGCCTGGTGCCCTTCCATTTTCCATGCCTTTTAATGCAGTGTATAGCTCCTGCAAAGACAATGGTTGCTCTAGCTCAACCTGAGGTTCTGCAGCCACCTGTGAGAGCCCATCAAGGAACTGCTGTGTCACTGTTTTATCCCCTTTGTACTCACACTTGTAGAGCTCAGCATAGAACTCTACTGCCCTCTTTCTAATTTCACTAGGGCTAGTGAGCTCCTGTCCAACAGCTGATTTGAGACAATGAATAATTAATCTTTGTCCATTCTTTTTCTCTAAACCAAAGAAAAATGTGGATGAGGCATCCATTTCAGAGATTCCCTGAAACTTACTTCTCACCAATTCCCCCTGTGCTCTGATACCCAGCAGGTCTGCCAATGCAGATTTTTTCCTCTTGAGGGCCTGAGTATGGCCTCGATCTCCTGTGGTCTCAACCAACGTCATGAGTTCCACTATTTCAGTCTCTAGGGCTTTCATTGATCTGGTGATATCCTTGGTGACATTCCTCGTTTATTGATTACAGAATTGTTGAATATGGATTTTCCCTATATCCCACCACTGTTGAAGGGATACAAAACTGGCCTTTTGAGACCTCCACCTCTCCCAGAAAAAAACTAAAACATTTCCTGAAGTGAGCATCACTCAATAAAGTTATATTAAAATGCAGTATGCGCTTTTGGGTTTTACATCGTTAATGAACACCACCTCTGTTATTAAACAATGATCAGAAAATCCCACTGGGGTTATCACACTTGATTTACAGACCTGAGATTGATGCTCAAAACAATAAAACCTATCTAACTTGGCCATAGAGATGGTGTTCTCTCTTACATGCGCCCAGGTGTACTGTCTCGTGCCTCCATGTTGACTTCGCCAAATATCACACAGTTCATGTGTTACAATGAGGCGTTTTAAAAAAGTCCTTGAGGCTATATGAGGTTCTTTGTGATTTCTATCTGAATCACTGATTGTGCAGTTAAAATCCCCAGCAATAAATAAATAATCTTCATTATTACATTTCTCAATGGTATTTGATAATGTCTCTAAAAAACATACCCTCTCAACTGCCACCACTGGGGCATATACATTTATCAGACACATAGTGATGTTTTCATACCTTGCTCTAACTTTTAATAACCTCCCCTCAACTACCTCTTCAACCTCATATGACAAAGGCAAAAACCCTTTTGAGAACAAGATGGCCACACCCCCACTTTTTGAGTTTTTATGACTACACACCACTGCCCCCCCTGACTCCTGTTGCCACACAACTTCATTTTTCAAATTACTATGCGTTTCTTGTAGAAAATGTATGTCACTTCCCTTTCCCCTAATTAACTCATACACTATGGCTCTTTTTTTTTTACGTCTCTTGCCCCATTTACGTTTAAAGAAGAAATCTTAAAACTGCTCATGGATGGAAAAAAAAAATACAGAGGAAGACACAGAAACCACATCTCTTTACAGAGTTAAGGCTGCGACTGAACTCTTTCATTTTCTTTAGAATTTCCATCACTTATCACTCTCGTGACCACTTTCTTGAGTCTAGCAATTGTAGGGCTTGTCAAACCTCCCCCTGTTATTTTTGACATCAGAAACTTTGCTGATTCAATAAACAATTCACTTTCAGGGAAAAAAATCTGTTTTTCAACTTCAGAAATTGACGTACCTTCTCAATCCCATACCTCCCTTCCACCCCATTTATCTCACTATTTTGTTGTGACGCATCAGATGACTCACTCTCGCTATCCTCCCCAGAAGAAAACTCCACCATCTCTACAACCTGTTTATCTTCAACTGATTTATCAATCTCTACCTTCCTCTTGGAGTTAGACCCTTCACCACCCCTTACATTCTTCTTCTTACTCCTCGGTGCTTTGAAAACAGCTGCTTCCTTTTCCATTATTTCAATCTCCTAATTTTTCCAGCACCCCCTCAGCGACTGCAGTCGCAATCTCACCGACTTTTTCCCCTCCTTCTTTGTTCTGATCTACCACAATTGCCCCCGTATACACACTGCCTCTCCTACTTTTCCAACCACATCTGCCCACCTTCTCCCTTCCCCTGCACCCTTAGCATGTTCATCCCTTCACGTTGGTGCATTAGCTGCACCAGCACTAGAGCTGCTACCAGACTCTGCGCGCTCGTTCTTGGGACAATTACGTACCAAATGCCCCTCTCTTCCACAGCCAAAGCATTTCATTGATTCAGTAGAAGCGTAGAATACATAATCAAATCCATCAATCTTAAAAATGAATGCTAAATTCAGTTCATCAATGTCCTTTTTTAAAACCATATTCACTTGTCTCCTATGAGACACGACATGTTTCAGCAACAGAGATTTGCATCCAAAAATAACCTTCTTTATTGTAGATACAATTTGACCATGACGAGATAACTCTCGCTCCAACACTTCATCTCTAACAAATGGTGGCACGTTAGAAAGTATAACTTTCTTCGCCGGATTCATAAGCGGAAATACCAGCGTCTATGTCTCCCGCAACACAACACCACTCTCAACTATCTTATTCACCTTTTCAATGGAATCTAAAAATATCACTACAGCGCTATTCATCCTTGAGGCTTATTTGATGCTATCATACACAATGATAGCACCCACTGCCAAGCTACATTCTTCCACTGAACACCCTGCCGCAGCAGGAATCTTTACTCCATGCCACCGACTAAGTTTTTCAAACTCCAAACTTCCACGAGTGGCCATTGCAACCAGCCCCACCCGCTGGTTGTGCCCTCGCGAAAAACAACCTCAACGATCCTACCACCCCTATACGTGCTTAGTGATACTTAGACAAGATAACCTTAAAACAACTAAACTAATCAATATATATATATATATATATACAGTGGGGAAAAAAAGTATTTAGTCAGCCACCAATTGTGCAAGTTCTCCCACTTAAAAAGATGAGAGAGGCCTGTAATTTTCATCATAGGTACATGTCAACTATGACAGACAAAATGAGAGAGAAAAAATCCAGAAAATCACATTGTAGGATTTTTTATGAATTTATTTGCAAATTATGGTGGAAAATAAGTATTTGGTCAATAAAAAAAGTTTCTCAATACTTTGTTATATACCCTTTGTTGGCAATGACACAGGTCAAACGTTTTCTGTAAGTCTTCACAAGGTTTTCACACACTGTTGCTGGTATTTTGGCCCATTCCTCCATGCAGATCTCCTCTAGAGCAGTGATGTTTTGGGGCTGTCGCTGGGCAACACAGACTTTCAACTCCCTCCAAAGATTTTCTATGAGGTTGAGATCTGGAAACTGGCTAGGCCACTCCAGGACCTTGAAATGCTTCTTACGAAGCCACTCCTTCATTGCCCGGGCGTTGTGGTTGGGATCATTGTCATGCTGAAAGACCCAGCTGTGTTTCATCTTCAATGCCCTTGCTGATGGAAGGAGGTTTTCACTCAAAATCTCACGATACATGGCCCCATTCATTCTTTCCTTTACACGGATCAGTCCCTGGCGGCGTAGTGTGTTACTGATGGTAGGCTTTGTTACTTTGGTCCCAGCTCTCTGCAGGTCATTCACTAGGTCCCCCCGTGTGGTTCTGGGATTTTTGCTCACCGTTCTTGTGATCATTTTGACCCCACGGGGTGAGAACTTGCGTGGAGCCCCACATCGAGGGAGATTATCAGTGGTCTTGTATGTCTTCCATTTCCTAATAATTGCTCCCACAGTTGATTTATTCAAACCAAGCTGCTTACCTATTGCAGATTCAGTCTTTCCAGCCTGGTGCAGGTCTACAATTCTGTTTCTGGTGTCCTTTGGCAGCTCTTTGGTCTTGGCCATAGTGGAGTTTGGAGTGTGACTGTTTGAGGTTGTGGACAGGTGTCTTTTATTACATTTACATTTTAGTCATTTAGCAGACGCTCTTATCCAGAGCGACTTACAAGAGCAATTAGGGTTAAGTGCCTTGCTCAAGGGCACATTTACGTCATTTAGCAGACGCTCTTATCCAGAGCGACTCACCAATTGGTGCGTTCACCCTATAGCCAGTGGGATAACCACTTTACAATTTTTTTTTTTTTTTGGGGGGGGGGGGGGGGGGGGTAGAAGGATTACTTTATCCTATCCCAGGTATTCCTTAAAGAGGTGGGGTTTCAAATGTCTCCGGAAGGTGGTGAGTGACTCCGCTGTCCTGGCGTCATGAGGGAGCTTGTTCCACCATTGGGGTGCCAGAGCAGCGAACAGTTTTGACTGGGCTGAGCGGGAACTATGCTTCCGCAGAGGAAGGGGAGCCAGCAGGCCAGAGGTGGATGAACGCAATGCCCTCGTTTGGGTGTAGGGACTGATCAGAGCCCGAAGGTACAGAGGTGCCGTTCCCCTCACTGCTCCATAGGCAAGCACCATGGTCTTGTAGCGGATGCGAGCTTCAACTGGAAGCCAGTGGAGTGTGCGGAGGAGGGGGGTGACGTGAGAGAACTTGGGAAGGTTGAACACCAGACGGGCTGCGGCATTCTGGATGAGTTGTAGGGGTTTAATGGCACAGGCAGGGAGGCCAGCCAACAGCGAGTTGCAGTAGTCCAGACGGGAGATGACAAGTGCCTGGATTAGGACCTGTGCCGCTTCCTGTGTAAGGCAGGGTCGTACTCTCTGAATGTTGTAGAGCATGAACCTGCAGGAGCGGGTCACCGCCTTGATGTTGGCGGAGAACGACAGGGTGTTGTCCAGGGTCACGCCTAGGCTCTTCGCACTCTGGGAGGAGGACACAGCGGAGTTGTCAACCGTGATGGCGAGATCATGGAACGGGCAGTCCTTCCCCGGGAGGAAGAGCAGCTCCGTCTTGCCAGGGTTCACTTTGAGGTGGTGATCCGTCATCCATACTGATATGTCTGCCAGACATGCAGAGATGCGATTCGCCACCTGGTTATCAGAAGGGGGAAAGGAGAAGATTAGTTGTGTATCGTCAGCGTAGAAATGATAGGAGAGGCCATGTGAGGATATGACAGAGCCAAGTGACTTGGTGTATAGGGAGAAAAGGAGAGGGCCTAGAACTGAGCCCTGGGGGACACCAGTGGTGAGAGCACGTGGTGCGGAGACAGCTTCTCGCCACGCCACTTGGTAGGAGCGACCGGTCAGGTAGGACGCAATCCAGGAGTGAGCCGCGCCGGAGATGCCCAGCTCGGAGAGGGTGGAGAGGAGGATCTGATGGTTCACAGTATCAAAGGCAGCAGACAGGTCTAGAAGGACAAGAGCAGAGGAGAGAGAGTTAGCTTTAGCAGTGCGGAGAGCCTCCGTGACACAGAGAAGAGCAGTCTCAGTTGAATGACCAGTCCTGAAACCTGACTGGTTTGGATCAAGAAGGTCATTCTGAGAGAGATAGCAAGAGAGTTGGCTAAAGACGGCACGCTCAATAGTTTTGGAAAGAAAAGAAAGAAGGGATACTGGTCTGTAGTTGTTGACATCAGTGGGATCGAGTGTTGGTTTTTTGAGAAGGGGAGCAACTCTCGCTCTCTTGAAGACGGAAGGGACATGGCCAGCGGTCAAGGATGAGTTGATCAGCGAGGTGAGGTAGGGGAGAAGGTCACCGGAGATGGTCTGGAGAAGAGAGGAGGGGATGGGGTCAAGCGGGCAGGTTGTTGGGCGGCCTGCAGTCACAAGTCGCAGGATTTTATCTGGAGAGAGAGGGGAGAAAGAAGTCAAAGCATAGGGTAGGGCAGTGTGAGTAGGACCAGCATTTTATACTGATAACAATTTCAAACAGGTGCCATTAATACAGGTAACGAGTGGAGGACAGAGGAGCCTCTTAAAGAAGAAGTTACAGGTCTGTGAGTGCTAGACATCTTGCTTGTTTGTAGGTGACCAAATACTTATTTTCCACCATAATTTGCAAATAAATTCATTAAAAATCCTACAATGTGATTTTTAGGATTTTTTTTCTCAATTTGTCTGTCATAGTTGACGTGTACCTATGATGAAAATTACAGGCCTCTCTCATCTTTTTAAGTGGGAGAACTTGCACAATTGGTGGCTGACTAAATACTTTTTTTCCCCACTGTATACACCAAAACCCAATAGAGTGAAAATAATTCCAGTCGCTCTAACAATCACTCCTGCTTCATGACTCACTCCCAGCATGCACTCCGACGAGAGAGAGAGAGAGAGAGAGAGAGAGAGAGAGAGAGAGAGAGAGAGAGAGAGAGAGAGAGAGAGAGAGAGAGAGAGAGAGAGAGAGAGAGAGAGAGAGAGAGAGAGAGAGAGAGAGAGAGAGAGCTGAGGCCAGGTAGTCCTGAGGCATGGGGGAGAGAGAATTAGAGGGAGCATACTTAAATTCACACAGGACACCAGACAGGAGTATTACACCAGATATAACAGACTGACCCTAGCCCCCCTGCACATAGACTATTGCAGCATAGATACTGGAGGCTGAGACATGGGGGAGTCGGGGGACACTGAGGCCCTGTCCGACGATACCCCCAAACAGGGCCAACCAGGCAGAATATAACCCCACCCACTTTACCAAAGCACACACAGCCCGCACACCACCAGGGATATCAACAGACCACCAACTTACTACCCTGAGACAAAGCTGAGTATAGCCCACGAAGATCTCCTCCACCACACCAGCCCGAGGGGAAGCAAAACCAAAACCAGACAGGAAATCACGTCTTTGACTCAACCCACTCAAGTGACGCACCCCTCCTAGGGACGGCATGGAAGAGCACTAGTAAGCCAGTGACTCAGCCCCCATATTAGGGTCAGAGGCAGATAATCCCAGTGGAGAGAGGGTAGCCGGCCAGGCAGAGTCAGCAAGGGCGGTTCGTCGCTCCAGTGCCTTGCCGTTCACCTTTGCACCCCTGGGCCAGACTACACTCAATCATAGGACATACTGAAGAGACTTCAGTAAAGACAAAGGTCGAGACCGAGTCTGTGTCTCTCACATGGATAGGCAGACCATTCCATAAAAATTGAGCTCTATAGGAGAATGCCCTGCCTCCAGCTGTTTGCTTAAAAATTCTAGGGACAATAAGGAGGCCTGCGTCTTGTGAACGTAGCGTACGTGTAGGTATGTACGGCAGGACCAAATCGGAGAGATAGGTAGGAGGAAACCCATGTAATGCTTTGTAGGTTATCAGTAAAACCTTGAAATCAACCCTAGCCTTAACAGGAAGCCAGAGGCTATCACTGGAGTAATATGATCACATTTTTTTGTTCTAGTCAAGATTCTAGCAGCCGTGTTTAGCACTAACTGAAGTTTATATGGTGCTCCCAAGGTAAGTAAAACTGTGGGATTTTGACTGCTTTTGCTGTGTTGATGTTGATGGGCGTGACCTTTGCCTTGCTGCAGTTGATAACCAGGCCGACTTGCTGGCCAAAGGACCGGACTCTTGTCAGTTTTATCTTGTAGATGTTGGTGTGTGTGTGATAAAATGAGCCAGGTCTTCTGTGAAGTCAAGGTCTTCTAGAGTAGAATACAAGGTCTATCATATTCCTCTTGCCTGCTCTTCTGTTGTTCGCCGCATGACCCAGTCTATTGCCCGGTTGAAGAGTAAGTCTGACATCACACAACCTTGACGAACTCCAGACTTCACAGCAAAGCTCATGTTGCTCGTTCGCACAATGCATGAAAAGTTGCTGTAGAACTGTTTTATGATGTTAACAACATGGGTGGGGATTCCATAAATTCTTAAGATCTTTCATAGGCTTTCGCAGTGAATGCTGTCAACAGCCTTCTGGAAGTCAATAAAATTGATGTAGAGTTTACGTTGCCACTCACTACATTGCTCAATGATGTTCCTGAGGGCGAAGACCTGGTCTGTACATCTCCTTCCTCCCCTAAAACCTGCTTGTTCATTCCTAAGCACTTTGTCTATAGCTGAAGACATCCTTTGTATGATAATCTTGCGAAAGATCTTGCTGGGAACGGATAAGTGTGATGCCCCTCCAGTTGTTGCAATCGGATACTGTGCCCTTCTTAGGTACCTGTATGATGACCCCCTTGGTCCAATCTGAAGGTATCTTTCCCTTCATCCAGATGTGAGTGAAGAGTGGAAGAAGGATGTTTGCAGCCAATACTGGATCGATTTTGAAAAGCTCTGCATTGAGGTTACCAGGACCTGGAGCTTTCCCATTCTTTATTGGTTGGTCAGTGTTTATGTCTAGATCTTCTGGAGCAGCTTCAGGTGTGTTAATTGAATCCATAGGGGGTTCTCTGTTAAGAACCTCTGAAATGTTCTGTCCATCTTGCTTGCTGTTAATTTTTCTGTAGTCAGGAGATTGCCTTCGATTTGAGTATTTCACTTGAATTTTCTGCCACAGGTTAGTGATTTTGTATACTGCTCCTTTTTCAGCTGCATTTGCCTCCTCCTCCATGTAGGACCCTTTGTCTCTTCTTACTCACCTTTTGACTTGTGTGTTGATTTTTCTGTACTGCTCCTCCAATTTTAACATTTTTGATTTGGCATCTGTTGTTTTCTTTTTCAGGTCCCTTCTTTCCACAATCATTTCCCATGTTTCTGGGGTGATCCATTCCTTGCGTTGCCTTCTTCTGTGTCCTATGGTTTTCTTGCTGCTTTACATTTTAGTCATTTAGCAGACGCTCTTATCCAGAGCGACTTACAGTTAGTGAGTGCATACATTATTCTTTTTTATATATATATTTTTTTTTACTGGCCCCCCATGGGTAGTGAACCCACAACCCTGGCGTTGCAAACACCATGCTCAACCAACTGACCTACATCCCTGCCGGCCATTCCCTCCCCTATCCTGGACGACGCTGGGCCAATTGTGCACCGCCCCATGGGTCTCCCGGTCGCGGCCGGCTACGACAGAGCCTGGATTCGAACCAGGATCTCTAGTGGCACAGCTAGCACTGCAATACAGTGCCTTAGACCACTGCGCCACTCGGGAGATTACTGTTTTCACTGTAAGTTTTAACCACTTTCTCCCACTTTCTGTCTATATTTCCTTCAGTTGCCTCCTCATCTTCTTCTTCTGTGTTGTTTGAAAGGGCTTGATACTTGTTGCGAACTTGCATTATGAAGGTTTTCTTGACGGTTCGGTCCCTCAGCATGCCAACATCAAATCTTGTTGTTCCTTTTGTCGGTGGTCTTGAACATTTCAGCTTTATTTTGGCTGTCGGCAGTCACAAGATGGTGGTCACTTGCGACAACTGCCCCCCTTCGCACCTTGACGTCCCTCAGCGAGGCTCTCCACTTGCCATTGATCATCAGGTGGTCAATATGGTTATTCTCTCTTCCATTAGGAGAGTACCATGTCAGCTTGGATATTCTTGTGGGGAAACAGGATGCCACCAATCACCAGGTTATTTGTGATGCAGAATGTTGCCAGTCTCTCACCATTGTCATTCATCTCTCCACAGCCGTGCTTCCCTATTGTGGTCCTCTGTAGCTCAGCTGGTAGAGCACGGCGCTTGTAACACCAAGGTAGTGGGTTCGATCCCAGGGACCACCCATACACAAAAATGTATGCACGCGTGACTGCAAGTCGCTTTGGATAAAAGCGTCTGCTAAATGGCATATTATATTATTATTATTGTTCTCTCGTAGTTGGTGTTGTCGGTGCCAACCTTTGCATTCAGGTCTCCGATGACAAGGAGCAGGTCTTGAACAGGTGTCTTCTCTACTTCAGATTGGAGGGTGTTATAGAACAGATATTTTTCTTCATCTTTGGCATCGTTTGTGGGAGCATAACATTGGATTATTGTTAGTTTGATATGTTGTCCATTGAGTCTGGCTTTTTTAATTCTGCTGCTGATTAGTTTCCATTCCATTATAGTTTTCTCTACCCCTTTCTGAAGGATGATGGCGACACCTTCATGATGTTGTCCGTCCTCCCGTCCAGAGTGTAGTACTGTTCCTCCAGTGCTGGTTATTGTGGAACCAGAGCTAGTCCACCTGGCTTTACTCGCTCCCAGGTAACCTGTGCCAGCTTTCCAGACTCAAACATTTTTAGAACATTCCATAAGCCAAATTGCAGTTTTGGTGTTCAGTGCTCCCATCTTCACGTCACCAGTTTCCCGTAGGCTTTGTCATGACTCTCCCTTGGTGAGGATCAAAGGTGCCAGATCAGCTTGGCAAATGGCTGACAGATAGCCAGACCCCCCCCTCTCTCCCACAGGAGAGGAGAAGGGGGAGTTAGGATGGTTTTATGACTTTTAGTTTGCAGAAAAGGACTCCTTTTGGTCTCTAGTATGGGAAAAAATAAATATCTTTGTTACAGAGAGACTCTTGACGCCTAAAAACTCTAACGTCAAAAGATTGGACATTGGAACATTATTCCTGACCTCCAAATGTTTGGAATGGTCAGTGGGGATCTAAAGAATAATCATGTCATATTGTTTATTATTTTGTTATGTCATTAATGATGGTATCAAGAAATAACTGTAACTTGGAAAGTGTACATATTCTATCTATCAAGTTTACATCTAAATGTTGTATAAAATATATGATTAAGTATGAGAGTATTTTGGTGAAGATAGGAATGTGATTTTAGTCTTCTAATGAGATAATAGTTTTTCATATAAACTATGTACAGTGACTAGCCACGCCCCGAGTGACATCAGAGATCGTGTTATCACGATGGAAAACACACTTTTACCCAGAGGGCATAAAAAGCCTTGAAATCAACCTTTAGACCAGGAAGCGTGGAGCTGTGGCTACATGGCTTAAAATGGTTAGACCAGAAAGACCAGCAAATGTGAGCATTGAGACTGCACATTTAGAATGGTTAGAACTTTGAATGAGAAAGATCAGCCGACGTGAAGCGCGATCTCACGTTACAAATGGTTGAACCTCTACAGACCAGAAAACGTGAGACGGTAGTCCATACGTTTGAAATGGAGAAACTCTGAAACTCTCAATCTCTACACGAGAAGAAGACCACGCACTAGACCTTATCATATCAGTCTGCAGCTGTACATGTAAAGTTGTCAGAACTTTCACTAAAGACACGAGTTGGGAAGGACAATCCCTCTCAGACAACCGTTGGTACATCTGAAGTATCTATTCTAACGAACACTCCACTCTAAGACAAGCCGAGTCTCACCGAAGTGGGATAGGACACTCAAACCCTTTTTGAGAAAGTGGTTCAACAGAGAGACGACAATCAAGGACAGCTACGCTTAAATATGCCTTGCATTTCTTATCCGAATGAGCGGTGGTTTCCAAATGTAACAACAATAAGTTGAATATCTGCCTCTCCCCTTCACTCTCTTTCTATTCACCCCTCATTCCCCTAACCAAGCAGTCATGCTATTGTCAGTCCAGTCCACTAGGGACCTGTTTTCATTGTATTACATTAGTAATCAGTAACCTATACCGTGTGTGTGTATTTGTATTCTGTGTTATTATTTAGTTATTTAATTAAGCCAATTTGTGTATTGCTGATTCATCAATAAGGTTAGGATTCTTGCAGGTTCAACGATTATGCGACACTCCGAATGAGACTGATGAGGTAATGATTTAATAAGTGACTGTTATCGATATATAACATACTGTATATATATATCTTCTAAGAGTTTAATTCGGGAGATGGTAACTCGTTAAACAACTTCTTCCGTGGTGCCCCAAATTCCTAATGAGTTAATTGTTACATTATTAATTTAATTGAGTGACAATTAAACATAGTTAGTTGATTCGATAAATAACAGTCATCACATTAATATAAGTCACGTCACGACAGCTTTCACTGATGGCGGTCATACAAGTCTAGGACTCTGGGAGATCTTAGCATCTAGTTGTAGGATTGTTATTTGTTGCTGTAGTACAAAGGTTTTACGGGATGGGGTTGCTAGCCCCATGCCCAACCATCTACCATTTCTGGTTTTGGGAGATGTGTGTGTGTCTGTGGTGGTTAAAGGTGGGCGGGTATCCAGGTTATCTGGAGCTGCCTTCTTGGCTAGGGGTGACATTCACAATGGATTCACAAGCCATTTCTTCTTATCTGCCTTTTCTTATGTCAACAATAGACAAGATGAACGTTATGAGATGTTGCTGTCTCTCATAAAGGTTATTGGAAATGGCTTTCAGTCTTGTCTTATGTTGGTTCTTATGAAGACGGTTAAAGGGATTCCTGAAAATGGGGTGTTAACTTAACGGTAGCTACATTTGTGTAAGTCACAGTTGTGAGAGAACAAGCTTGCACTGGAATATATTTAGTTGAACTTGACTCTCAAACTAATAATAATAATATTTTTAACCCTTTCTTTCCCAGTTGGAGTATTGCTCCAGTGCACTCAGCTGGATAGTGGAAGCCCTCTCACAGAGCAACATGGTCAAACCCACTCGCCCCCCGCCAACACTTAGAGGTACCTCCCAATATACAGTGCATTCGGAAAGTGTTCAGACCCCTTGACTTTTTCCACATTTTGTTACGTTACAGCCTTATTTTAAAATTGATTAAATTGTTTTTTCCCCATCATCAATCTACACACAACACCCCATAATAACAAAGCCAAAACAGGTTTTTTGAAATGTTTGCAAATGTATTAAAATAAAAAAAATGGAAATATCACATTTACATAAGTATTCAGAACCTTTAGTCAGTATTTTGCTGAAGCACCATTGGCAGCGATTATAGCCTCGATTCTTCTTGGGTATGACGCTACAAGCTTGGCATACCTGTATTTGGGGAGTTTCTCCCATTCTTTTCTGCAGTGTTTTTCGATCGGGTTCAAGTCCGGGCTCTGGCTGGGCCACTCAAGGACATTCAGAGACTTGCCCCGAAGCCAATCCTGCGTAGTCTTATCTGTGTGCATCTGGAGCAGGTTTCCAGCAAGGATCTGGAGCATATTTCCCTTGATCCTGACTAGTCTCCCAGTCCCTGCTGCTGAAAAACATCCCCACAGCATGATGCTGCCACCACCATTATTAACCGTAGGGATGGTGCTAGGTTTCCTCCAGACATGACGCTTGGCATTCAGGCCAAAGAGTTCAATCTTGGTTTCATCAGACCAGAGAATCTTGTTTCTCATTGTCTGAGAGTCCTTTAGGTGCCTTTTGGCAAACTCCAAGCGGGCTGTCATGTGCCTTTTATTGAGGAGTGGCTTCCGTCTGGCCACTCTACCATAAAGGCCTGATTGGTGGAGTGCTGCAGAGATGGATGTCCTTCTGGAACGTTCTCCCATCTCCACAGAGGAACTCTGGAGCTCTGTCAGAGTGACCATCGGGTTCTTGGTCACCTCCATGACAAAGGCCCTTCTCCCCCGATTGCTCAGTTTGGCCGGGTGTCCAGCTTTAGGAAGAGTCTTGGTGGTTCCAAACTTCTTCCATTTAAGAATGATGGAAGCCACTGTGTTATTGGGGACCTTCAATGCTGCAGACATTTTTTGGTACCCTTCCCCAGATCTATGCCTCGACACAATCCTGTCTCGTAGCTCTACGAACAATTCCTTTGACCTCATAGCTTTGTTTTTGTTCTGACATGCACTGTCAACTTTGGGACCTTATATAGACAGGTGTGTGCCTTTCCAAATCATATCCAATCAATTAAATTTACCACAGGTGGACTCCAATGAAGTTGTAGAAACATCTCAAGGATGATCAATGAAAACAGGATGCACCTGAGCTCAATTTTGAGTCTCATAGCAAAGGGTCTGAATACTTACTTATTTACAAATGTTTTACTAAAATGTCTAAAAACCTGTTTTTGCTTTCTCATTATGGCGTGTTGTGTGTAGATTGATGATGAAAAAAATGTATTTGATCAATTTTAGAATAATGCTGTAATGTAACAAAATGTGGAAAAAGTCAAGGGGTCTGAATACTTTCTGAATGCACTGTGTCCCCACAACCTTAATGCTGAGAACATGATTAGTAAACACGTTTCATTCATCTGCTAAATCTCTTATCCAGAGTTTTTAACCAGTACATACCAATGATGTACAGTGGGCTTGTGAAAGTATTCAACCCCCTTGGCATTTCTTCTATTTTGTTGCCTTACAACCTGGAATTAAAATTGATTTTCTGGTGGGTTTGTATCATTTGATTTACACAACATGCCTACCACTTTGAAGATGCACAATATGTTTTATTGTGAAACAAACAAGAAATAAGACCAAAAAAAAAGAAACTTGAGTGTGCATAACTATTCACCCCCCCAAAGTCAATACTTTGTAGAGCCACCTTTTGCAGCAATTACAGCTGCAAGTCTCTTGGGGTATGTCTCTACAAGCTTGGCACATCTAGCCACTGGGATTTTTGCCCATTCTTCAAGGCAAAACTGCGCAAGCTCCTTCAAGTTGGATGGGTTCCGATGTTGTATCTTTAAGTCATACCACAGATTCTCAATTGGTTTGAGGTCTGGGCTTTGACTAGGCTATTCCAAGACAATCTTTCCCCTTAAACATTTTAGCAGACACTCTTATCCAGAGCAACTTACAGTTAGTGGATGCATACATGTATTTATTTATTTTTATTTTGGTTCATACTGGCGCCCCGTGGGAAACGAACCCACATCCCTGCCAGCCAAATCCTCCCCTACCTTGGACAACGCTGGACCAATTGTGCACTCCCATGGGTCTCCCGGTCGCGGCCGGCTGCAACAGAGCCTGGACTCAAACCAGGATCTCTAGTGGCACAGCTAGCACTGCGATGCAGTGCCTTAGACCACTGCGCCACTCGGGAACCAATCGAGTGTTGCTTTAGCAGTATGCTTAGGGTCATTGTCCTGCTGGAAGGTGAACCTCCGTCCAAGTCTCAAATCTCTGGAAGACTGAAACAGGTTTCCCTCAAGAGTTTCCCTGTATTTAGCGCCATCCATCATTCCTTCAATTCTGACCAGTTTCCTAGTCCCTGCCGATGAAAAACATCCCCACAGCATGATGTTGCCACCACCATGCTTCACTGTGGGGATGGTGTTCTCAGGGTGATGAGAGGTGTTGGGTTTCCGCCAGACATAGCGTTTTCCTTAATGGCCAAAAAGCTCAATTTTAGTCTCATCTGACCAGAGTACCTTCTTCCATATGTTTGGGGCGTCTCCCACATGCCTTTTGATGAACACCAAACGTGTTTGCCAATTTTTTCTTTAAGCAATAGCTTTTTTCTGGCCACTCCTCTGTAAAGCCCAGCTCTGTGGAGTACTCCACAAGTATCCTCTGTGGATACTCCAATCTTCGCTGTGGAGCTTTGCAGCTCCTTCAGGGTTATCTTTGGTCTGTTTGTTGCCTCTCTAATTAATGTCCTCCTTGCCTGGTCTGTGAGTTTTGGTGGGCGGCCCTCTCTTGGCAGGTTTGTTGTGGTGCCATATTCTTTCCATTTTTTAATAATGTATTTAATGGTGCTCTGTGGGATGTTCAAAGTTTCAGATATTCTTTTATAACCCAACCCTGATCTGTACTTCTCCACAACTTTGTCCTTGACCTGTTTGGAGAGCTCCTTGGTCTTCATGGTGCCGCTTGCTTGGTGGTGCCCCTTGCTTAGTGGTGTTGCAGACTCTGGGGCCTTTCAGAACAGATGTATATATACTGAGATCATGTGACAGATCATGTGACACTTAGATTGCACACAGGTGGACTTTAACTAATGATATGACTTCTGAAGGTAATTGGTTGCACCAGATCTTATTTAGGGGCTTCATTGCGAAAGGGGTGAATACATGTGCACGCACCACTTTTACGCTATTTATTTGTAATCATTTTTTGAAACAAGTTATTTTTGTTATTTCACTTCACCAATTTGGACAATTTTGTGTATGTCCATTACATGAAATCCAAATAAAAATTCATTTAAATTACAGGTTGTAATCCAACAAAATAGGAAAAACGCCAAGGGGGATGAATACTTTTGCAAGGCACTATATGCTACGTACAACAAACCCAATTGCATTTTATCGATGGCAATTTGAATGCACAAAAATACCGTGACGAGATCCTAAGGCCCATTGTGAGGCCCATTTTTTAAAAGTTATCGGTGACCAACAGATGCATATCTGTATTCCCAGTCATGTGAAATCCATAGATTAGGGCCTAATGCATTTATTTCAATTGACTGATTTCCTCAAATGAACTGTAACATGTTGCGTTTATATTTTTATCAGTATACAGTGGGGAAAAAAAGTATTTAGTCAGCCACCAATTGTGCAAGTTCTCCCACTTAAAAAGATGAGAGAGGCCTGTAATTTTCATCATAGGTACACGTCAACTATGACAGACAAATTGAGAATTTTTTTTCCTGAAAATCACATTGTAGGATTTTTTATGAATTTATTTGCAAATTATGGTGGAAAATAAGTATTTGGTCACCTACAAACAAGCAAGATTTCTGGCTCTCACAGACCTGTAACTTCTTCTTTAAGAGGCTCCTCTGTCCTCCACTCGTTACCTGTATTAATGGCACCTGTTTGAACTTGTTATCAGTATAAAAGACACCTGTCCACAACCTCAAACAGTCACACTCCAAACTCCACTAAGAGCTGTCAAAGGACACCAGAAACAAAATTGTAGACCTGCACCAGGCTGGGAAGACTGAATCTGCAATAGGTAAGGAGCTTGGTTTGAAGAAATCAACTGTGGGAGCAATTATTAGGAAATGGAAGACATACAAGACCACTGATAATCTCCCTCGATCTGGGGCTCCACGCAAGATCTCACCCCGTGGGGTCAAAATGATCACAAGAACGGTGAGCAAAAATCCCAGAACCACACGGGGGGACCTAGTGAATGACCTGCAGAGAGCTGGGACCAAAGTAACAAAGCCTACCATCAGTAACACACTACGCCGCCAGGGACACAAATCCTGCAGTGCCAGACGTGTCCCCTTGCTTAAGCCAGTACATGTCCAGGCCCGTCTGAAGTTTGCTAGAGTGCATTTGGATGATCCAGAAGAGGATTGGGAGAATGTCATATGGTCAGATGAAACCAAAATATTACTTTTTGGTAAAAACTCAACTCGTCGTGTTTGGAGGACAAAGAATGCTGAGTTGCATCCAAAGAACACCATACCTACTGTGAAGCATGGGGGTGGAAACATCATGCTTTGGGGCTGTTTTTCTGCAAAGGGACCAGGATGACTGATCAGTGTAAAGGAAAGAATGAATGGGGCCATGTAATGTGAGATTTTGAGTGAAAACCTCCTTCCATCAGCAAGGGCATTGAAGATGAAACGTGGCTGGGTCTTCAATATGACAATGATCCCAAACACACCGCCCGGGCAACGAAGGAGTGGCTTCGTAAGAAGCATTTCAAGGTCCTGGAGTGGCCTAGCCAGTCTCCAGATCTCAACCCCATAGAAAATCTTTGGAGGGAGTTGAAAGTCCGTGTTGCCCAGCGACAGCCCCAAAACATCACTGCTCTAGAGGAGATCTGCATGGAGGAATGGGCCAAAATACCAGCAACAGTGTGTGAAAACCTTGTGAAGACTTACAGAAAACGTTTGACCTGTGTCATTGCCAACAAAGGGTATATAACAAAGTATTGAGAAACTTTTGTTATTGACCAAATACTTATTTTCCACCATAATTTGCAAATAAATTCATAAAAAATCCTACAATGTGATTTTCTGGATTTTTTTCTCTCATTTTGTCTGTCATAGTTGACGTGTACCTGTGATGAAAATTACAGGCCTCTCTCATCTTTTTAAGTGGGAGAACTTGCACAATTGGTGGCTGACTAAATACTTTTTTCCCCCACTGTATATATACAATTTTATTCAATTCTGTTCTTTTTGTTATTGATATTTGTTTTGTAAGTATTTTATCTGATTGCGTTTGACTGGTTTGCACAAAGTCAGTGTCTATAGTAATTTGAGTCAAAGATCAAATGTATTGTCCCTTCTCTGTTTTTCTCTCATTCTCCAGAACCATTCCCTTCCTCATCCGCTTCCATCTGATCCTGTCTTTGTTTACATGCCAAGCCATTCAGGGTCACTGAAAGGAAAAGTTGATACGCTGTTTCTTTCCGCTTCGGCTGCTTCTTTATCAACAAGTCTTCACTGTATTCAACTGCTGCCAATTGTTTTTGTTGACATTTTAAAATGGTCTGTATTCGTTGAGGTTGTGTATTTCATTTGTAAAAGTTTCCCCAAAGACTACAGTTGGATCCAGGGGAAAGGACTGGAAAATACACTGTCAATAAACTTTTATTTTATTTTTTATTTTTATTTTTTTGGGGGGGATGGATCAGCTTAATATTGCAGATTGTATCTTCTATCAACGTAATTGTCTGCATCACTTCCAATCCCCCATGTTTTTTATATATATACTCCCCTTTATTACTTTTCAACCCCGCCATCCTTTCCCTACTTGGAGTAAATTAGTGAACAACAATGCCCAGGCCTTTACTTCCGGTCTATACTTACTATCTACACCTTATGGACACAGTTAATTTTACAATAATTCTCTCTCTCTCTATATATATATATATATATATATATATATATATATATATATATATATTATTCTTTATTTTTTTGCTCCTGAACTTCTTCTACTCTCAACCTCTCCGATCATTTTCATGATGTCCATCCGGTTTGCTTCTATATGCCATATCTTTCTAACTGTGCTCTTTCCCAAAAGCTCCCAACATACAACCTATATACTTATTATGGACACAGTATGCTTACATTATTAGCTATCTTTGTTATTATTTGTTGTTATTTGTTATTAGTCCCATCCTTCAACTCTATTCAATACCTCCCATCTATCTCTTAACACCATCCATATAGGATTTGTATTTGCCATATATATTTCAACCGTACTGTGATGTTTTACAAAAGTTCTGAACCTTTCTATTCTCATTGCTTCTACAGATTGTGAATTAAAAATAAACATTTTTGCTAAAAGTATTATTATATTACTGATCGATTGACTATGACTTTTCAGATCACCCAGTAATGCTATCTGCAAGGTTAGCTCCAGGTAAATATTGCAATCCTTTAGCCATTCCAAGACTCTTCCTAAAGCTGGCCACCCGGCCAAACTGAGCAATCGGGGGAGAAGGGCCTTTGTCATGGAGGTGACCAAGAACCCTTTAGTGTCCAAAAACAAGCTACAAATGGACAGAACCAAAACAAATGATCTAATGATTCTTTCTCTTCACAGCAAAATCTGCAGAGCTGGGAAGATTGTATCCCCCATATAAATAACATTCTATTGGTAGCAAGAGTTTTATATAATAATTTAAATTGAAAGATTCTCATTTTTGAATCCGGTGTCGTTTTGCGTTTCAGTTCATAAACACTATGCCATGGGATCGGTACGTCAAAGATCTCTTCCCAACTATTTTGCAATCTATATGGGACGGCTGTCAATCCTTGGGTCCTTAAGTGAAACTGATATACTTTTTTATTTATCACAGTTTTCCTTAACCAATTCTGTTCTTTAATGCAAGGCCGACAGACAAGTTCCTTACTTTCTCCCCCTTCCACTTTCCTCTTCCACTTTTGTGGTAAGGCTGCAATTATTTGGTTGTAATTTTGGGTAGAGCAGACATTTCCATATGTTTTTGTTAGCTGCATGTGCGACATAACTCCACCAGTCCTACCGATGATATAATTTACGAAGATTATACCTTTTTTAAACATTCTGTCAAAAAATTAAGTTTTTTTGTCAATTAGTAGATTTGAATTTAACCACAATATTTGTTGCATTATTTGTTCTGTCGTTTCTGGAGGATTAAATTGAAATTGCAACCAACTTTCTACGGCTTGTTTTAGAAATGCTGATATTTGGGAGATGATTTCCTTTTCAAATAACTGCAAATGAGTTGTTGTAATCTGAATAAAGGGAAAAAGGCCTTTCTTGAACATTGGGTGAGACAATCTTACTAATTTGCTTGAGAACCAGTTCGGATTTAAGTATAACTTTTGTATGACTGAAGCTTTTAGTGATAGGTCTAATGCTTTAATATTTAATAATTTCTGTCCTCCAAATTCATATTCATTTTATAAATATGCCCTTTTAATTTTGTCTGGCTTGCCGTTCCAAATAAAATTGAATATTTTTTTCTCATATAATTTAAAAAACTGTTCGCTAGGCGTAGGCAAGACCATAAGAAAATAGGTAAACTGGGATAATACTAAAGAGTTAATCAGGGTGATTTTCCACAAATTGACAGGTATTTTCCTTTCCATGGTAGTAAAATCTTATCTATTTTTGCTAACTTTCTATTAAAATTTATTGAAGTGAGATCATTTATTTCCTTTGGGATATGTATTCCGAGTATATCCACATCACCATCAGACCATTTTATTGGTAAACTACATGGTAATGTAAAAATTGTATTTTTTTGTGATCCAATACATAATATAGTACATTTGTCATAATTTGGTTGTAATCCAGAGAGGTTAGAAAATGTATCTAGATCCTCTATGAGGCTGTGGAGGGATTATAGTTGTGGATTTAAAAGAAAACAAGAATCATCAGCGTACAATGACACCTTTGTTTTTAAGCCCTGGATTTCTAATCCTCTGATATTATTATTCGATCTGATTTTAATAGCTAACATCTCGATGGCCACAATAAATAGATATGCCGATAGTGGACAACCTCGTTTCACTCCTCTTGACAGTTTAAAACTTTCTGAGAAATAGCCATTATTTACTATTTTACACCTAGGGTTACTATACATGATTTTGACCCATTTTATAAGAGATTCTCCAAAATTGAAATGCTCCAGGCATTTATATATAAACCCCAGTCGAACTTTATCAAATGCCTTTTCGAAGTCTGCTATGAATAGCAGGCCTGGTTTCCCATATTTTCCATAGTGTTCTATTGTTTCCAATACTTGCCTTATATTATCTCCAATGTATCTTCCATGTAAAAAACCTGTCTGATTAGAATGAATAATATCCGACAATACCTTTTTAATTCTATGCGCTATACATTTTGCTAGGATTTTTGCATCACAACACTGAAGTGTAAGGGGCCTCCAATTTTGTAAATGGACTGGATCTTTATATTTTCCACTTGTATCCTGTTTCAGTAATAATGAGATCGGACCTACTTCTTGAGTGTCAGATAATCTACCATTTACATAGGAGTGGTTAAAACATGCTAATAACGATCCTCTTAGTATATCAAAAAAGGTTTGGTATACCTCGACTGGTATGCCATCCAACCCTGGAGTTTTCCCAGACTTAAAGTATTTAATTGCATCCAGAAGTTCCTCCTCTGTAATTTCACCTTCACATGAGTCTTTGTGTGTGGCTGTTAATTTGACATTATCAATAGAAAACAAATCTCTACAATTAGCTTCAGTTAGAGGAGATGGAGGCGACTGAAAAGAAAACATATGCTTAAAGTACTTTGTTTCTTCCTTCAAATATCATTTGGTGAATTATGGGTGACTCCATCAATTGTAAGCAGTTTCATTAAGTTCTTTTTGGTAGCATTCCTATGTTAAAACAAAATAATTTTGTGCATTTTTCCCCATATTCCATCCAGTTTGCTGTATTTTTATAATATATTACACTTGATCTTTCTTGAATAAGTTTCTCCATTTATTTTTGTTTTTCCTCTAATTTATTCTGAGCCTCTATGTTACAGTTTTTATTGCCATCTATCTGTTCTGTTAGACTTTCTATTTCCTTTCTTAGTATAAACTATTTTGACCTAAATTGCTTTTGTTTTCGAGATGAGTACTGAATTGCATGGCCTCTAAAGGCACATTTAAAGGTGTCCCATACAATAAGGGGATTCGCTGTACCTATGTTATGTTGGAAAAAGTCAGTTATAATTTCCTTTGTTCTAATTATGAATAAATTATCATCCAATAGGCTTTGATTAAATTTCCAATATCCTCGCCCACGTGGAAATTCAGTAAGAGTAATGTATATGCCTATTATATGATGGTCTGACCGCATTCTGTCCCCTATCAACACTTTTTTTTTTACTTTTGGTGCCAACGAGAATGAGATAAGAAAGAAGTCAAGACGACTAGCTTGATTCAGTCTCCGCCATGTATATCTCACTAGATCAGTATATTTAAGCCTCCATATATCTACTAGTTCTAATGTATCCATGACATTCACAATTTCCTTAAGAGCATGTGGGTGATTGTTTGTGGTGTGATTTCCTTTACGGTCCATTGAGCTATTTAAAACAGTATTATAATCCCCCACCATAATAATATTGTCTTGAATTGCTTGCAGGGTTGATCATTTATTATATATATTGTCAAAGAATTGTGGATCATCATTATTTGGTCCATAAAGGTTAATGAGCCATATCTGTTTATGGTCCAATAACATATTTAAAATAATCCATCTACCTTGCATATCTATTTTGACAATTTGCACATTCGGATCGAAATTACTATTAATTAATATCATCACCCCTTTTGAATTTCTTTGCCCATGGGAGAAGTATATCCCCCCCCCCCCCCCCCCCCCATTCTTTTTCCCACACTACTTCATCTCGAATTGTTGAATGAGTTTCCTGTATACAATAGATATTATATTCCTTCTCTTTAGCCATGTAAATATTGTTCTTCTTTTGTTATTATCAGCTAAGCCATTACAATTATAACTGGCTATACTTATTTCACCATACACCATAATGAGATACAAGTTTCAAGTCTATTTATCATTATATATGTTTGTAAATTTACCAATAAAAAATACCATAATGATTGAGTGTCCATATAGCTGTACCGTGATATTTGCATTGCTACGGAGTAACCCTTCAATTGTTCTCCACTAATTCCCCCGCTAAAGCCCCTCCCCATCCCAAGTTGAGCCGTCATCCCAGTGATCAGCATCCCACCCACGTCCCTCCGGATCCCTAAGGCCCCGAGAGGCCAGGACCCATCCATTGAAAACAGCACACAGTGCCACCCACAAAACAGAAGCAGATTAACCGCCAAAAGCATTTCCAATGCTTTCACCTTATATATATATATAGCTATTTTTTTTTAAATTATACATATCC